GCAGGTAGCCGCTTGTTGGAGACACGTATGCTGCATGAGCATGCCAGAAAGAAAGTATCAGACTGGTATGTCCTCGCCCAGGCTTGCCGGATACTCAGTAGACTCGACGCCATCATGGGCCAGTTCGTCATCAGATTCCGAGATGAAGAAAAACGGAACCAACAGCGTCAGCATCCTCGGCCTCGGGACCTTTCACTAACACTACGTCACGCGGTTTTTCTGTGGGCTGTCCAGTTTGTCTTCCAGTCACAAGTCGCCTTGGGAGATTATGACAGAAACATTTCTGCTGAGAACGCTGGCAGCAAACCCAAAAAGAATGCGGTGGGATTTGGGCCGGTCATAAGCTTGCAACCAACGTCTGTGCTCATGAAAGCTTCGCGACAATCGGCAATGTACAAGCTTTTCCGTTGACGTTCTGAAGTTGAGCTGCGTCCTTGGATAGCCAATGTGGGTGCAGGCCGGCAGGAATTCCCTTCATGGCGATCTGCAGAGCCTTCGTGACCTTGCAGTTCAAGACTCAAGACTGGCAAATTTCACGCTCAATGCGACTGCACACCTTTGCCCTCGCTTGCAATCAAGTGGCTGCAGCGCAAAATTCAGCACCGCATGTCGTCTTGGTGCGACATACCTGGTCTCTGGCCGTTTCTATAATGTCCTTGAGGAACTTCTGCGCGGTCTGCTGGCCGTACTTCCTTGGCCAGGGGAGCTGCCGTGGCGCACTGCTCGAAGACTTCCAGAGGCGCCATGATTCAAGATTCAAGCTGAGGGTCTCCAAACAAAACTGCAGTGTGCCCATTGCTTGTTCTACCGTAGCATCGCTGTCTGCCTCAATGTCCTTGCCTGAGTGTCTTGCTGGCAGCACTCCCAAAGGGTTAAGCGTCAATGCATGGACGCGACGAAGACAACATGATACAACATGGAAAAGACGTGGAACCAGCAACAACAAACGAGCTTGTCGGCTTTCCACTTGATAACGACACCTTGCCCCACTGTGCACGCTGTGCTATTTGACAACTTTCCTGCCTCTGCTTTGAGGGGCTTGGTGCAGTCTGTCGGTACTCTTTTGAAGTCCCGCTTTCAACCGTCCGCGCGACGAGGAATTCTCAAGCTTGCGTGGACGACGTGCGCATAGTTGAAGAGCAACCGGCCCAAATTCTTACACTCCTTTTTGCACTGGTGCCACTTGCGAACTGCCACGCCTTCCTCCCCCCGCCCGCCGCCCACCTCTCCCCCCTTCCCCCCATCCCTCCGCTCTCACCAACGAACGTACTTCCAGCCACAGTCGGACCCGAAAGACGGGGAAAGACAGTCATTTGTCACCAAGCAGCTGGAGTCAAGGAGGAAAGGCACGACCTCGAAGTCTGATCATTTTCCCGTTCAAGCTCTATCACGCCAAGTCCATGCAATCCCATCTCCTCTGCATGCAGAACCTCCTGATGAGTGCTAGCGGCATAGTTTGCCAATCGGTCATTTGAACAAAGCGCCTGTCAAAGACAAGGAGGGTCATCTCGTTCGTTGCTGCAGCAGCTAGGACGGAGAATAAAACAGGACACCGGCTCACTCGCCCGACATTTGCTGTTGCTGGGATAGGGTCTGGCACAGGCCTGGGACAAGCCTCCACGCAGGTCCTCTCCGGTGATGCCAATCTTATCACCCTTCGGAGGCTCAAACCTTGGTATCAAAGCCAACAGGCTGTGTCCGATCCGTGATGCTAGTGCAAGTAGCAGCACTATTCAAGCGATGGCTGCTCGAAGTTTACAACTCAAGTTCCCGATGAGCAGCGTGATCGGGAAATAGGAAGACAGCGTCTCGAAGAGGGTGATGGCTGTCTCTTTTGTGATGCACTCTGGCGGAAAATCTTGGAACGCCTGGTGGCACAGATAAGCTCACAGATATTCATCCGCGCAGCACGATACAGTATTACGAAAGCATTTGTGCGCAGACTGAGACTGCCGGCCTTTTTCACGATCGTAAACGAAACAAGCAAATTTCGCGGATCTCGCTCTTCCTGTGCCAGATTGCCCACAGCTTTGGCAACCACAAAAGCTCGGCGTCTCAATGTGTCCTCGATGGCAGCTGCCACGCCCTCGCCGAGTTGTGGCCCAAGCAAGACCAGATCTGAGTGCCACTCATCCATCAAGAGGATCGCCTTGGTGCAGTGAACAGTCGACCATCTTCCATTGCAGAGATACCAAGCCGAGGTACGGTGTCCAGCACCATTTTTCTAACGGCCTGGTCAATTGTGCTGTGCCATGCGGTGGACACGGTCAGCTCCGCCCGTAACCGTCATGCCGTCTGGCCTGTGTGTGGGATGGCGTGTGCACCTGTTGCTCGCATGTGTACAGAAAAGAATTGTGCAGCTGCCTGCCGGGCCTGCCTCCTTGAAAATTGTTCGAGCGATGTACAATGCCAGCGACCTCGAGACTTGCTCAAAGCATTTCTCAAAGGCCGAGGCCATGCGGACCAAGCGGAAGCGGACCATAGCGGACCTACCCTGAGCCCCATGCTCTTCGGATCCATCGGGCAGCTCCTTCTTTAGAGTGCGCACCAGTGCTCCTTGCCGGCGCAGCAGAGCCAGAATTCCTCAGAAGTCCCGAGAAGTTGCCTTTACGTGCCCATGCCCGGTATTGCAGCAACATGTTCCGCCACAAGCGCGTGATAGATTCTTTGGAAGCTTTCAGTATGCTGCTGCTGCTGCTGCAAAGCGGCCACCGACAGCCCCCTCTACACACTGCCAATCGCTCAGCTTGGAGGAGAAGAAGCTGGCAAATGTTTCCTGAAAGACTGCAAGCTGCACTCACTCCATGGGCTTTGACTTCCCTCATGGTACCTTTTTGGTATCGCCTGAAGGTGACGGCGTTGTCTTACATCTAGCTGCCGCCGGCAGCAACAACTGCCGCGCAAACCTCAAACCAAGGCGCTGCAGGCCTGACGCTGGACAAGAAACGATCACTCAGATGGAAAACACTTGGGGTCATACTTGAAACGTCAGCAAAGAAGGTCAGGAGCGAAGCGCTCAACCCGTTGTACTAAGAATAAACCTAGATATCTCCACGGGATTTGTCTCCGCGCGATTTGGAAGGGTGCAAATTCCAAAGGCTCACAAAGGAATCATCACTTCGGGGATTCTTGTGTTTGTCAAAGCCACTGAAGCAGATAGTTATTTCCATCGGGTCAAAGGAGGGCCAGATACCCATACGTACGATCTTGCGGACATAAGTCAAACAACCTGAAAGTGGAGGATGTGCTTTCAAGTAAAATGTGTCGAGACAGACCGTCGAGGTTTAATGAAAGACAGGCAATGGCACGAATGTCATCCGCCATTCCCCGACCCAATCTCAGTGGCTGTTGAGTTGATTTCTCTTTGTGCGAACCGCGAATTGCGATGGGAGATGCTGTGCGAAAGATGGCTCCAATTGTGCATGCCACAACACAACATGCGTTGAGTGATATCTCCATACTGCAGGCATGCAGCGACATGCAACCCAAAAAAGACTCCGAAACCATCGTATGTTCAGCCGCGGGCACCACATGCTTGAAGTTCATCTTGAGCTGTGCGACATCACGGAGACACTCTGCTAGAAATTGGAGCGCATGCCTGGGAAGCGGCGGCAGGCAAGGTTGCACACTGGCACTGTCTCCCCCTGCCTGCGCCCAGTCGGATTGCTGGCATCATTCATCACCTGTGCCACAACCGCACATTAGAAGCATTGACTGCGGTGAGTATCGGCATCACTGCGAACAATAGAACACTCTTCGACATACGTCATCCCCAAACCCAAATGATCTGATACTTTACAGCCGTGCTGTCCGATTGAAACCACTCAGTGGTCACCAGTCAGCAGTAATTAGTATTCGTAAATGCCCCACTGATATGGACAGCTCCGCTCCGCGACGGAGCAGCTTCCGTGAGAGGGTAAAGGCAGCGTGGAGGCTCATGCTACCTGCAGTCTTACCGGCGATCTTCTTGAGTTCGCAGCTTGATCCAAGTTGCGCAGTCTTTTCGCGGCGAGCATGTGTCTAAGCGGGCTGAATGGCAACGGCTAGGTTTGCGGCAACTACCAGACACCCATTTTGATAAATTACATGGATTCAGACCTTCCAGTTTGGCAGCAAACTCATCAAACCATGGGAGCCAGAGGAGCCGCAAGATCGTCTCATGAATTGAACAGTGGGTATGTCCACCGTTGCACCCCTAGTGGTCCGACTTTACAACCAGAGCAAAACTCTGAGCTGCCTTCTCCAGGTGCAGCACAATGTCCAACAACTCAATGCGCTTGGCATCCAAGGCCTCCAGCACTTTCTTCAGCGTGGCCTGTCCATGCGCTTACCCGCCGAGGGCCCAGAACCCAGCTTTGCCACTCACAACGTTCGCCAGGGGAAAACCGAAGCAAGGCAGACGTTCGTGCCTATTCAACATAAGACTGTGACTGTCTTCACCGGCATGTGTGAGCGAGGAGCCTTGTGGAACGGCTGCTCAAAAGTCATACCCGTAGTCGTTTTTTGAAAGGTTTCACTACGAGCAGGACCACTGGCTTACCCAGACCACCAATCTCTTGCTTCCTGCTTTTCTGGATTTTGTCGTGCCTCCTTGAGCTCATCTGTCACCAAGTCGGCATCGACATACTGGTTGATGGCCTTCCGCGACTGCTGCGCTCGTGCTGAGAGAGGTTGGGGGCAAAACCGCCTCCTTAAGCGTGTCATCGATGCTTGCCATTCTTCTGGCCTAGGGGATCCCATTCATCATTCTGGGAGATCAGGCTGCAGCTGCAAACGGTCGATATTGAGATCCGCACGCAGCACGACAAGAAAGTCGCTCTGAAAATTCTACATCGCCTATGATGTAGCTTGAGATCTGGCAGCTGGCGAAGTTCGAGGATGACACTGGCCACACTTCTCTCATCGAGCGGAGCATGCTGTCTGGCTGGCTGCTAGCCGCGCCGTGGCTTAGCATCGCATAGCATCGCATCGTGCAACAAGAGCGCGTCAACATGGCCCGCCTCAAGCCTGGCATATGCGTTGGAAATGAGTGCCTCGCAGAAAGCAATGTTGCACACATGTTTCAGGTCGCCTCACTGGTGAAAAGATTTCGTCTTACAGGAATGGATTTACCGCGGGTAGCGGAAAAACCGGGGCGTAGGCGAGTTGCTGCTCGCCAAAGCCAGTCGGAGCGCTCCTGCCACGTTCTTGCGTCGTACTTTCAAGCCATGTTCGCATCGCATCGTCCTGCGGATCGATTTCGAGAAGACCTTGAACAGCGCCAGGTCCCGAAACTGGAGCTTGGCAAAAGCCTCAGCTGTGAAAAGAGGCAGTCTAAAGGCTGAAGCACGGTGCGCACGATGACGCTGTGTTGGCTCCTCTGTCTTGGGGACCCCGCATTGAGGAAAAGCGCAACGTCCTTGCAACACGGCGAGCTCTTCGTTTTGTGCTGTCTTCCTGTCTTTCTGTGATCGTCGGACCGAGGCGTTATTTACAGGGCCAAGCTGTGAGAAGTCTACTGCCTTCAGTAATGTCATGCTCCCTGGTATTGCGGTCACCCTCTTTCTGGTTGACATGGAAACAGTGATGGCAAGACAGCTTTCAGATTCAGACTGGCGGCCGGGGCCAGCTTCCGGCTCGGCCGGTACTACGATTGCTAGCTGGGGACCCGGGGACACACCGAGAAGTTTCTGTGTTCGTAAGTGCCAGGAGAGGAGGCCGCCATAGGCCGCCTGAACCACAGGTTCTTCGTCGTGTTGCGACATGAAAAGCCTCTGGACCTGCTGTTCCACCAGGACTCGGTCAGCCTCTATCGTGCATTGTGCCGCCCGGCAGTCGAAACAAGCCATCTGCTGTCTGTCTGTGTCTGTGTGTTTGTTGTCAACCTGGGCCCAGGCTCGCGGATCGAATTCGTCGACGCAGTGGATAGCCTGGTCTGACCTTGGTCTGTGACCCCGGCTTGGGTACGTGACATCACTCGGTGACTAAGCTGGAAGGCATTCGATCGAAAACTTCCCGATCGGGGACTTCAGCCTCAGTCAGCAGCGCCCAGAAATGAACCGACGCACAAATGGACTCAGTGCTACTAGTTGACGTGTGATACAAGGGATTAAAGCTGATACTGCATGGCCGGCGCTTGGCTGGGACCCGCGCTCTTGCAAAGCCATTGGCAATAAACGCCATCTGTTTCGGCCTCGTGATGATTGCAGGTAGCTCTCGTACGACCAGCCTCTTTGTTGCCTTTCTGCTTCGAGTAGCTGGGGATGTGACTGCATAGCGCCTGCATGGAAGAGTGCGGCCTCGAAGCTTGAGATACTTTAAAGGCATGGTACTTGATCCGGGACGGAGACTCTGGAAGCGGAAAGGGCCTCAGCGTACTCGCGCCATAACCGCATATCCTGTAACAGCTGGCCTCTGAAGCTGAACACAATTGTCAATGCCGGGCCTGCTTTCTGGGCCCCTGTGAGGCAATCCGAACAGCCTTTGCCAGTGCCGGAATGCAAAAGAAGGCGCATACCCGGAAAACAGAAGCGAGTCTAATACCGTGCTGAGCTCCGAAGGCGACATCTGCCTGCCAAGCCAAAGCAACGGATACGGCCTGCCTTCTGCCCAGTGGACCTAGTAGGACCTAGTTCCTGCCCCCCTTTTGTGACCTTCCTTGCTGTTTTCTGCGTTGAATCTCTGGAACTATCTCCGCAGAGAAAATGTCACCTACACAACTTTGCGAGAAGTGGATCACAAAACACAGGAGCGACACGTCGGCTAGGAGGCCATTGCCTAGAAAACGTAAGATGCATCGTCACTTCTCCGGGCAATTGCGCCGAGTCAGGCCAAGTACTTGTGGCAGGTTTGGTGCTGATTTGTGGATACGTTGCATTTCGCTATGCAAACCATTCGCTGACAGGGAACGCGACTCAGCAGTGCATCGCCAACCCTACTTCACATGCCTCTTTCAAGCTCGGAAAGCCGAAAGAAGCCGCGCTGATACCCCCAAGCGCTGGGTGATCTCTGATCACAGCGCTACAGCTGAACCACTGCATTATCAGCCACCATCCCGACTAAATTGTGAGGTCCCACTGACCGTGCAAATAACCCAAGCTACAGCTTGTGCTTCAGCAACTGCAGCGTGTCTCCTGCAAATTTGGTTGCATGGCGAGCGATTCTTCGCGCGACTGCTAACTGCTAACTAACACTCCCAGTCGCACCAGTCAAAACAGGCGCAGAGAGAAACGAAACTTGTCATGGAGTCCGTGCTGCCTACGCCATGAGCTACGCTGATGTTCTGATGTTCGTGCTGCCTCACTGGCTGATGGGAGTTCTATGTGAATTCCTTGCACCAAGGTCATCAGAGAGCGGAAAGTCTTCCGACCAGAGAGTGCCAAAGACTGGCTGCTTTCAGCCAAAGGGAGGCCTCCTCTGTGCAAAGCATATCTGCTGGCTGCTGGCCTTTCGCGAGTCGATTCGACCTAATCTGCCTTAGCACTTGCCATCACAGAAGCTGGAGAATCGAGCCACGTCGGCCAGGTGAACTTGCATTTCCTGTCGCCGAGCGGGATCGCTTATCATCAGGGACTAGTTGGGGTGCTCAGCGTGGAGGTTTGTGCTTCTTGCCGTTTGCGATTGCGGCATAGAAACCAAGGAGGATCTGGGAGGAGTTGCCTCTCGGGCCCCTGAGAGGAGCTGAGAGCATTTTTAGCACTTGTCAAAAGGTGGGCGGCAAGAGCTGCAGTGGCTCAGGGCAGTTCAGCTCCAGTTTCAAGCCTGGTGCCATATTATGCTTCTGCTGCGTTCTGTGGTCTTCCAGCCTCAAGCACCACATCGCGTTGCCGAGCTTCTGTCTTGATCTGGTTCAGGTGTTTCAATCAGCATGACGCACGTGGTCTCGCATTTGCAGCATTCTCGGAAGACATAGTGTATGTCTACCCTGCAGCAGTGCACAATCAACATCCCAAAACGAAGCACACAATTCACTCGGACGACAGCAGCAAAATGAGGGAACAAAACCCCAGCTCCCCGAATAATGCAGTGGCCGCCCTGCTTCCACCGAGACCGCAAGTTGAGCTCGGGACGACAAACTCTTGCGCGACCCAAAAGCTGTGTAGCTCAAAGCTGACATGGCCAATGCGGAACCGTGCACCATGGTGTGTTCTGAGATGCAAGAGAGAGACTTTACAAAACATGAGCACGTCTGCCAACCCACCAGTCCTGACGCTCGACATCCACGGTCCAGCAGCACCCAGGTAGGCGCTTGCTCATGGTGCGGAGTGCCCGATTGGCGAGAGCACGTCGCTGGCACATGTTGCCCCGATTTGCCGGAAGCAAGCTCAGCCAGTTTGACAAGGTAACCTTTACGCGCTTGCCTTCCTCCAGCTTGGGCCTTTGCGTCAAGACCTGCTCCATCAAATCCCAAATAGCATGCTCCAAAATGGAATCCAAAGACTCACCCTTGTGCAGAGCATGAGGCGGCATCGCCCTGGGAGCAACATGACCCGTACTCGGCCTCTGAGCATATCTCGTCTTGAAAGGCTGATTCGACCCGTTCTGGGTAGAATGATTGTGTCCGGAACCTGCGGCATGCTTTTTCCCCTGGACTTGCGCAGGATGCGATTCGTGTCCATCCTCATGTCCCCTCGTTGAGAACTGGAAGTCATCCCAGGGTCCCATGCAGTCAGGCTGGAGGTGCAACTTGTGTTGCTCGCTGCTGGCGACCTTGTGCTTGTTCGGGAAGCAACACTCGAGCTTGGCCGAAGGCGGAAAGCACGGCTTGGGAGATCTGCGAACGGGAGATGGTGTCGGGATAATCTCATCGCTGCGTTGCCGTGGTGGTGGAGTGCTCGGGGCATCTGCCTCGGGTTTCTGAAGCACCAGTTTGGTCCAAGCTGGTGGCGAAGTCGAGGATCTGTCACAATCTGCTGCTGCTGCTGCCTCTGGTATTGGTGCCAAATGCTCGGAAAGGCATAGATTCAGAGTGCTTCGTGTGGCGAGGTGCTCGGAGTGCAAAGGACCCTGGCAGGTGCCACTGAGCGCAGTGCTGGCTTGGGCCGGCATTCCAGTGTAGGACGGATCTGCAACGACAACGCACCATAAGCCAGGCGAAACCTGCTGGGCAGCCAAAGGCATCGAGCCGGATCCAAAGGGTGCGGCTGCAGCAGTGGCAGCTTGCACGGCCTGTGCAAGCTGCATGCCTGGAGGTCCAGGCGGCTGCATGTCCGGGAAGGCAGGCAGAGTCGGCTGACAGCCGCAAGGACCCATGCCCAGGCCACCCATGCCAAGCATAGATGGATCCATGTATTGCCACTCGCTGGCATGCAAGGTCTGGTGATCGATGGCCATTGATGGTTGAGGGAGCTCGGCGGCCAAACAGGGCCGGGGCATGGCACCTGCCGGGGCCATTGCCGGAAAGCAGCCTGTGCTCATAGGATGGGCCATGACGAGGCCAGCTGAAACGGCATCGCCGGGGCTCAGTGGCCCATCTGCCGGTACCAACTGGCTGCTGCCTACGCCACAGGCTGGTGCGATTCCTGGCGGTGGTGCTGGACCAGTGAACGTGCACACAACAACAGGGGTCAAGCTGTTCTCCACGGCAGATCCGCACCAAGCCATGTCTTCACACCAGATGCGATAAATTCGAGAGTTTGTCCGACAGACCACAGTGGCCGCAGGTTCAAGATCCTAAAGGCGAAGGCTTAGGCTTAAGCCCTGTAGCCTTGAGCCGCAAGAACGCGTGGTAGCCAGCCTACTTGTCAAAGACACGCTGGGTCAGAAAAATCCTCGATGCTCAGCCATTGCATGTTATTGCTCGACTTCAGCGGTCCTTGTAGATCTTCCGCCACCCTCCCTCTGAATACCCTGCGAGCAGTAGCATCGTTGGCATGAAACACCGCTTGCGACTCATTCATGCCTGGCGCTGGCTCTTTGGCAACATGAAGCCGGCAAAACACCTCGCCTTAGCGTTTAAATTTAAGCTCATTCACTTCACCAAAAAATCTGTGAATGTGTTCAAATAAGATGCCGGCTTCGCAAGCCCGCCATTCAAATTTCGGCTGCCTTGTTGGTCTGATCGTGGGCGGCCGAACAAATCTTGCCATGGCACAGCCAACATGGACTCTGTTTGTCGACCTTAAGGGCGACTGTATGTTGCCGTCTTCTGTGCGTGCACAGCGCGAGAGGCGCGACTTTGGAGGGTTTGCTTATGCCTGTCTGTCTCCGTTGCTGGCTCTTACGCATGGCTGATTTCCATTTCGGCTGCATATTTCTATGTCGAGGTAGTTTGGCTGCTGCATGGCAAACCATGGAAAAGCAGAATACCTGACTTAACTTGATTCAATGCCAATGGGCTTGATCGCTCGAGGCGAAAACAATCAACAGTTTTGTGTTTCCTGCAAACCGCAAACCCGACCAAGGTTCCCCAGTGTCATGCGATTCAGGTCTGTTCCTGGGCAAAAGCACACCGGTGAGGGTTGTGGCCCTATGAAAGTAGCCTACCCCGATGTGGAAAAGTGTCCCTGTCTACTTGCAGGTGTGCAATTTCAATATTGGCCCTTTCAAAGGATGGTAAAAACCTCTATTGAAATAAAGGGTTTGCCGACTTGCAGGAGTCTTTCTTCGGGAATGCATCGCGGCGAACTGGTGGGTCCACCTGGCTGCATCATGTTGAGAAAACTTGAGGATCCTCACTCGCCCAACCAAGCGCCGCCGTCGATCGCATGTGCGATGAAACGTGTCTCCGCTAATGTCTCAGTAATCAAGGTCCTCCTCTCACGTCAGGCGAGTTCAGCACCGCTCTCCAGCATCAAAGGGCCCACGCAGCATCGTGGCGAGGCTGATGTGCTCGGCGCGCACCTTGCTCCCAGAATGTTGCGGTCGAATCGGTGGAGGTGAACTCGGACTGGGGCTCTACGGACAACCCTGCGGTGCCGTGAAATTCCCGGCTGCCCTAGGAGTTGCACCTTCCTCGTAACAGCGTTTGCCGAAGTGCTTCTGCGGCAAAACTCCTACGTTCTCCGTCTCCTCCGTCTCCTTGCTTTACTTGCCTCGGCCAGTCGATTTCGCCCTGACCGGGCTGGTAACGGAGGTCCTCGGAAGTGAGCCGTGGTGCCAGCGGTGTAGCCGAAATTGCAGATCTAGAGCGGGCGCGTCGTCGCGAGGAGTGCTCGTCCCGGAGTGGAGACTGCGTGCGGCTCCTTGATGTCCTCAGCGATGCCGATGGCACCAGGTCCGTCGTCCAAACTCTACCCTGCCAAGTCAGGAGATCTTGCAGGAGTCTTGCAACTGCATCATCCGATTCGCCAGTGTTGCGGAAGCACTCTCTCAAACTGTGGTCTCGCAGGCGGGAATGAAGAAGCTTCAGATGTCTCTCTCGCAGGGATGTTAGGGACTTGTCGTCCAAACCTGCATCCTGTAACTTTGCCGGGATTCTTGCCTCCCCCACGATGTCGACAGCTTCCGACAAATCGGCATCGGTGTATGACCCTCGTGGTGGCGAACGGCAATGACTGCTTGACCCACGTTGTGGCGAGAACGGTGATAACCCATCGTTATCAGCATGTTGCTGGCACCTCTGTCGGTGGGCGTTCTCAGCCAGCACGGTCACAGCATGGTCCCTCTCAGCCTGTAGCTCGAAACCTGAAATTCAAAGTTCTCATCGACACACACACACACACACACAGTCGAAAATTCCCTAAAGCCAAGGGCGCTACGCAGCTGCGCCAGCGACTTCTCCTGACCTGCAGGCTTGCAAGATCTTGCAAGACATCGATTCGCTCTGACTGAACTCAGCTTCTGAGTGGCGCTCGTTCCAAGGCTTCTTCGGCAAGTACCTGTAGCAGGGATGAACAACGGCCCGACTTCTTCGCAAATCCGACCAGCGGAATGCCAAGAACCGCACCAATCTGGAGCAGGTGGCTTCCTGCGCGCTCTCTTCGGAAGAAAAGTTCCGCTGCACCGTTTGCAGCCTGATGCACTGATGCCGATCAACACTCCCCCGTGGATTAAGCGCCATGTGCAAGATCACTGTGGGAAGTCTAGGCAACACACTCCCTGTGCAGGGACTGCGCGCGCACCTGTCAAGAACAACTGCAAAGACAAGACTCTTGAACAATCCTCCGATCCTCCTTTTGCCTGGCTGGTCTGGCACTCCTGCAGCTCCTTCTGCAAGCTGAGCCGCTCCTCAATATCTGCCTCTTGTCTTTGCCGCGCCTCGTGACGTGCAGTCGGAGAGGAACTTTGGTCGTTTTTGGGCGGTGCCTCACGAAGTTCTTTTGCCTGGGAGCGTTGCCTTTGTTCCGCTTGCTCCTCTAGCAGAGCATGCCACCACCGTCTCGATACATCTCAGTGCAAGAGCTGTGTGCGTCGTAGACATTCACCCCACTACTGTAAACTGCAAACTTTACAGTGACCCTGTTCCTCGAATTCCAGAAGCTTGGACAACAAGGAATCCTCAGCAGCACGGTGAGACTTTGCTTGAGGGGAAACACGGCTAGGGATGCTGGTTACCTGTCGAAAACCATCTGGTGGGGGTCAAGCCCAGTCAAGGCATCAATTAACACGGATACTCCCTCAGCTCAGAGCATGATCGTGACCGACTTCGGTGGCTCTGCGCTTGTACTCTTCCACCTCTTCGCTTCCCACGCAACATGGTGCGGTCAGCGCAAACAGCTTGCTGTCTCTGCGATCCTCTTCAGCCCTTTCAAGACGGTTCAGGTGACGTGCCCCGACACTCTCTCTGGCCAGCGCTCTCGGCGACCCGTGAGTGTATGTATGCAGTACTCTTCTCCTGCCCGCCCGGCAGTTGCTAGGAGTTTCTTGGCGGCGGCACTCCAGTGAACATGTGTCGGCAGTCTTGTCGAGCGATCAGCAGTGCTTGGCAAGTCAGCCTTCGCAGGTGCTGCGAAGATTGCATGGTGAGTCACGATAAGACGTCTCAATTCCCGATAATACTGTGCGATCTGGGCATGCACGCAAGCTCGCGTCAACGCGGTACGCCTGCTCTCAGGGTGCCTGCAATTACGATGCTGTTGCCATCCGTTTGTCGTCTGTCTGCTGCTTGTTCGTGATGGCTGGCTTTTGCTGGACTCTTTGCCCTTGCACAGTGCAGCTTTTCAAGTGAGGTCTTCGGGCAGTCTTACGTGCGATTCTTGTGCCGGCATCACTCTTGGCAACTAAAGTGAAACCAAGTCAGGAAATGAAGGCAAAAATGTTGTGGATGACAAAACACATCTGACAGCGACTCCTCTGACTTCAATATACGGGGTTGGCATTGTAATTGGGCGCATTCTGGTTCTGGATTTGTGGACCAACCCCCGAACCCACCAGTTCACAACTGAAGTAGAACAAGAATAGACAAATGGGCGCGGACACGAAGAGATGCATAGCTTGCCAAAGAAGAATCGCTTCCTCGCATCGTGCGGTACGGGTGTAGGTGCAGGGTGTCTTTTCTTTACCGCGTGTCAACAGCAAAGACCCACTGACACTAGAGGATCCCAACCGGGACTTCTGAGCGGCTCCGTCCCTCTTAGTCAATCTCTCAACACAAGCTTGAAGAGTTGACGACCATACTGGTCATACTGGCACCTGTTTCTCGGCTGTCTCCAACTTGCTCTGCAGCTGCTCGGCGATTTCCTGCGACTTCAGCAGCGCGGCCTGCAACTGCTCTCAAGAGTTGTCACAATGTGCACGTTGTGAATGCTCGCTTTTGTTGGCCCTGTCAGTAATTGACCTAGTCTTTTCGTGGGGGACATGCAAGCAAGTCAGCTCGCCTCCAAACATCTCCAAACCAAACACTGGCTGCAGCGACAACATCCTACGAAAGACTAGGTGACTACGCACACTGCGTCAAGGTTTCAGTGGGCAAGGTGGAGATGCTTTTCTGCTCAATTTGGCGGTGTTGCATTTTCCGTCTAAGCCTCCACGAACCTTTCTGGCCCCAAGCGATGTAACTGCCCTCTCCCAGGCTCTACCAATTTCCATACGCTGTATACTACTTTGTGCTGTTGCTACCAGTATGCGGTAGTTTGCCACGTAGCATGTGGCTCGTCGGCTGCAGATGTTGTGACTGGTTAGGAAAACTTGGCTGCTAATTCGTGTGACCCACAATGTTAACTTCACCTGCGAGTTGCGCATCAAGTGAAGACCTGATTTTGGTCACTGGTGCTCGACAAGTCAGACGAGGTTGATGGGTAACTTGCACCGAATCTCAGAACACACATGTTCACATTGGAACACGCTCAGGTGAAGACCTATACTGGTGATCCGTTGTTCTTGTGTTTTCGCTGTAGAATTCGGGAAGACATGCTGAGCCTGTCCATTCAAACTAATTTCGCACGCCCCTCGATTCTGAAATTACAGGTTCGGTTTCTTCCCGTGTGTGTGTGTGTGTGTGTGCTTGGGCAACGTTCCCTTCTGCAAAGCATGTCGGCTTGCCATAACTCAGTTCGTCACGGGAGACCTGTTGGATCATCCTTGCTTATGGAACTCACAGTAGGTCGCGGTGAATTCTAAAGCCGCTAGCTAGCCGCCTGTTGTTTGGCATGAGTCCTGCCTGTCAATCATACAGAGCCCACGTTGCTTCTTAAGGTCTCCGTGTCGTCATGATCTATGCAAGCGTTTCGGCATCATGGTAGTTCACCCTAGAGCGGGGAAGAGTCTCTCGGCTTCCCGTCCAGCCTCCGCAGACTCTGCACTTCTGTGGCCGGCTTGATCACTATCTGCTTCACTGAACCTTGAAACTTCAGAAGCTTCGTCGTTCTCCAGATCATGCTCCGTCGGCACGATGGTCCCGGGCGCATCTCCTCTGATCAGTCTGAGGCTAAGCAGCGGTATGCTGGTTTGTGCATCGTACATCTATCGGCTCCTGCACCTACACCTCTGGGTGAGACACAGATGACACGGATTGGCTCCGAGAAAGCATCAGGCTCGTCCGAGGTCTTGCTCGAGGTGGAGCTCGTGTCCGCCGATGGAGACACCATCGCAGCAGCCGCGGCCGTGGACGGAGGGATCGGCACGTCGCTCTCAAACTTCGCCTGTTTGGCCTGCGCCTGTAAGCCCTCAAGTTTCTGCGTGGAGGGGCATCCTTTTGCAACTGCACAGGCCTCTTGCTGACGTACCTCTGGCTCGAGCCTGTCCGGCCTTGGATCGAACCACGCGATTCTATAACAGCAACTTGATGGACTGCTGAACTGCTGAGAGATCTGCAACTCCGAACGAGGGCCCGAATGCGATCTCTTTCGTGTTGATGTACTGGACGAGCTGGCGGTTTCGCTTGCCTGGACACAATCTCCGAAGATTTACGCACATGAAAACCGTAAGGCCGCAAGGTCTGGGCTGACGGTCAGACAACACAACAATAGCGCGTTATAGCACGCTTGACAGTGTTGTCGATGCTGACTGGTATGGCAGCGGAGCAAACGATGCTTGGACTTCATGGCCTCCACGCTTTTACGAACGACTCGAACTGCACCGAAGCCACAAACGCACCTACCAACACTTTGACCGGTCCTTTCGAAATGACTGACACAAGTGTTTGGGACAGGCTGGACATCCTTCATGTCGACGGAACGATGGACATATGATGTATGTACGTATGTATGTGCGGAAACCTATGTATGACAATACGTGTTTTGAGATAGATGACGGAGGGAGAGAGTGCGATAGATAGATAAGTGGATAAAAGGTGGATAGATCGATCGACAGATAGGCCACACTGTAGGTTTGGTCAACCCCTGGTCCTCACGCTCTGTCAGGCGTCAGAGGTGGCACACTAAGTGGCTCAACAATCCCGGGCTTGAAGGGTTTTCAAGTGCTCACTCCGGGTTTGTCGGGTGCACCCCTGACGGTTGTCTGAGCACGTTTTCCAAACAGTTGCTGTTGTGTCAACAGGCCAGGCTAGACCCGAGAATATGAGAGAGAAGGGTTCTGACTCTGGCGTGATTGCTCGAGACGGCCGTCTCGCTCGAAATGCAAAATGCCTGTAATTCTGAAGCTCATCAACCGCAATAAGCCTCAAAGACTACGCTGGAACGAAGCAAATGACGGATGTTGGGCAATGCAGTCTTTCCACGAAGAGACCTGCTGGCTGTCACGGAAGCACGGAAGGGCAAGGTCTACTGCACAAGCATGGCCGAGACTGACGAGAAGACGAAGATCAATCCAATGGCGTTCGCTTTTTGGTGGGTGCCGAGCCTGCGCTCGCTCTGAAGCTTCTGCGGCCACAGCTCGCGGCTCCTGGTCTCACGAAGCAGGTACTGGGTATCGTCTAATCAGAGACATGATGAGACATGCAAACATCTAGCAGTGCGGCAAATGTGAGGTTCCTGTGCAAGGTGTGAAGTGCAGCTGCTCCTGTTCGGCATCATCACTGTCTTCCAAGTCAGCTATCTCTTTCAGAAGATCATCGACCTCAGTGCTCGGTGGCCGGAGGCCACTAAGCGACAAAGCAAAACATGGCTAAGCCTGCGACATCAAGAGACATTTTCTGCAAGCAGCATTGCCCACATCTTACATGCCGACCCACAAAAGATGTTCTGTTGAATGTTGATGTCTCCGTGCAGAGACTGCTTTGTCGGTTCATGGCTCAGAAACCCACTCTCGCGCGGTCTGTGCCAGTCTTGCCAAGGCCAAGGCGCAAACTTTCAAGGTCCCTCTCAGTGCCGTCAGGAACTATGATGAACTGTGCACTGAACTTACAGTCTCAGACCTAGACAATCACTTCCTGCCCTGACAAGCAAGCCGAAAAGAGAGCAACTCCACTGTCAAGCTTCAAGCTCGAAAGGCTTCGGACTCAGGGGTCTAAATCTACATGTCCACATCCCAAAGCTGGAACCGAAACCGTTTGGGGGAACTGATTGGCTCCACAAAGTTTAGGGAGTGGTTTCTCCTGCTGCGTGCTAGAACCCGAGAAGAGATCGCAGCGCCTGTGTGTCACCCGAGCCCGAATACCAAAACCTCTCATTCTTCAGCTAGCCAGACCAAGCATTGAGGCATCACGGTGTCTGGGCGGCAGGTGCAAATTCATTTGCCAGTCCGTAGTGCAAAGAGTCCGTACGACATGACCGAGGCTCTTACAGCAACTCGAATGTCAGCCGAAACGCGCCAATCATGGTGGAGACGGCTGCGACTCAGATCAGGAATCCGCCTGCTTCCTACTGTGAGACAGGTGGAGATGTAATTAAATCAAAGCAGATGCAGGCAAGCCGAGAAACTGGATGAGACTGAAGACACGCGAACATACGCTGACAACCTCAACATCTTGGACTTAGCCTGCGTCCGGTCTCAGGCTGAGGTGAAACATGTCTACAGATGTCCGGGCACTTTCCTCAAGCTGTCTTCAAAATTTAAAAGGCACTGGCTCTGCCAGGAAGGCCTGTTAGCAGCTGGTCAGGCGAGTCCTGCTACACGACTCCAACGGCGACATCTCTCAATGCATGTTGCTCTCGCAGACCACGCGCTTGAGGTGAGCCAGCTCGTCTTCGATTTTGCGAACCTTGGGTCCAAGCTGTGACCAGTGTGTGCACTTCAAAAGTCTTGTGTTGAACCTCACACTTTTAACTTTGAGCGTCCTGAAAGACACAGGGTGGTCAAGGCTACAAGGTGAGCAAGCACGAATAATGAGTCGATAAAGCCAGGCGATCACAAGCTGTGCAGGACATTGGCATACCCTGTCCACGCCGCCTCCGAGACGGTATGGCTGGAAGTTTCAGAGGACTTCAAAAAGTTAAAACGTCTGTTGACATCCCTCAGTCGCGCGTTGGTTGGTCTGCTGATCGGCTGGGGAAACTTGCTGAAACTCCTTGCGTTCATTATGGCTTTCCGACATAGTGCTTGCAGATGGTCATGACCATGACTGTCGGACTGTCGGACTAGTCGCTGTGAGTATACTTTTGGCTAGAGTGTACGTAATCTCTGCCGCTCCGTACCTCTCGGGGGCTTTCCGCGGCTCTGCTACGACTGTTCTTTGCGAGTGGCTCCAGTTCGCAGCAGGCGCACCATTTTCATGATCTGCATGTCTGCCACGGGGATATCCAACAAAAAGATATTCCTCACAAAGTTATGCCAATCGATATCTCGCACGGCAAGAGTATCATTCTGATGCAACATGAACGGTTCTCGACAGCAAAGACTCAGCAGCCCTTCGGTGAACTCCTCGCCTTAGATGCGCTGAAATAGCTATGGGTTAGCATCCTGGCGTGCTTTTGCCAGTCATGTCTACTGCTTTCTCACTGCATCTTCGCATTTGGGCTGAGTATACCAAGGCTTTCTCGGCACGTAGCTGCTCAAGGACCTCAGCAATGACAGACCGGGTCACGTGTAAGGATACCAGACTCGTCCACATCCAACTTTGAGAAGAGTTCTGCCATACCTCAATCTGCTCCAACATCGGAAGTAGAACGCAGCCAGAAGATCCCACGTTACAGTACCTTAGGGGCCCTGGCCATATAACTCCTACCTGCAGGAAACCTGCCCCGCCGACATGCACTTCGGCATGCACATGTGCAACGATAGGCCGCGACGTGGATGGACAAGTGCGTGCACACCAACGTCGCATAAACATTTCTCCATGGTACTGTCAACGGAAGCCTTGTCCAAGATGTAATCAGGCACTACCACCTTCTTCTCGTGTTCGGCTCGTTGAACCCTCAGCACGCGCGAAGCTTCGGGATGTGCCGTCTAGCACATCTGCCTGTAGATCGGCAAGAGCTGTGGATCCAAGTTCTCGGCTCCTCCTTTGTTACCATGTCGTTGCCATCCTGGAAAGGGAGGGAAGTTCCAAGAACAATCAAACAGCAGGTCGCAAATCAACCACCGGCCAAGCTTGCCTATGCATCGAACAGTGAACCAAGATGCTTGCCTGAAATCTCAAGCACGCCGGCACGACAGAGTAAAACGGAAGCATGATGGGAGTTGTAATACAAAGCGAGCCCTGATGCACTACACTACACTTCATCGAGGCCACATCTTCGGTTTGCTTTGGCCTTTCTCAGGAGCTGCTCGTGGTGGTGGTCGTGGTGGCGGCGGCGGGGGTGGTGGCAGTGGTGGCTGTGGTCGGGGGTTGGATCAACAGAGATTGAACACCGGCGTCACAAGCTTTCATGCAAACCACGCCCTGAGCGCACGGGCCGTGTCATTGACAGTGCCACATCTTACCGACGCACCGCACTCCCCGAGTGGTGTACCCACAAAACGAAGACCCCCGTTAGTGGCACAGCACATCGCGGCACCTTCGAGCCCGTTCAGTCTGGCAAAAAAGGAAGCCACAGGTCGACACTATCAATGCCCGCACACACAGGCCACACGAAAGCGGTCACCAACTTCTTCCCGCATTTTCCTCCCTACATGACAACAACCGGTGAGGATGTATTGATTTCGAAGAAGCTTTGGATTCAAAGCTCGGATAGCGAAAGATCTGCAGCTCCTGGTCCAGGCCCTGGAACAGGCCAGAAATCTCGGTGAGCATGTCTTTGGCGGTGGCCGTGAGGAGCTTCTGTTCTTCCCTTGTTTCAAGAAGTGTGAAACAGAAGCGACAATGGGATAGCTCATTCGATTCAGTGCTGATTCAGTTGAGCAGCTCTCTGTCCTGGCGCGCATGCTCCAAGGCTCCCTCCACGATCACCGCCGTCACCTGACGTATCGCAGTGCACGTCATACAAAAACCACTCAAAAGGAAAAAACGACCTGCACAGAACCCGTCATCTGAGACGCCTAGAATCCATGTCGAGTGGCTCCGTGCAGGTGCGCCATTCAACAGACATGTCAAAGGCAACAGCAACTGCTGTTACACATACCGTTCGAAACACGCAAGAACATGCAAGGCAGTGGGAAGGCAGGCCCAAAACATTCGTCCAAACCAGCAACTCACGTATGATTCAGTATGATGCTCAGGTTGGAACCAAGTTCATAAGGGATATCGATACCTCAGCGGGCTGAGTGCTTGAAGATCTGAATAGATCTGATACAGAGCAACCCACTTCGCTGCAATTCTTTCCAAGCACTGGAACCAGTCGAGATGCCATGATCATCAGCAGCATAAAGTACACCCCCAGAAAAGGCTTTATCTTCATCAGCGGCAACTTGGCTGGTGCTGTCATGTTTCCAAACTCTTCCAGCTGATTGCCAGCGAGCAAAGGATGACATTTACTTGTTCTGGGGAGAGAAGCATATATTGCCGCGATTGAATCCGAGGTGACCTCGCCATGCGCGGGTTCTGCATTCGGCTTTACTTCTTGAAGTGTTGCTTCTCTGCAGAAGCTGCTCGGATGCCGACAAACTGAGTGAGACTGACCATCGCGACATACAAAGAACCTGAGCTGTGGAACTTCGCTACTAAAACCGACTCAAATCAAGTGTGTTGCCAGCGAACCAGTGCAAGCGGAAACACAGTGACACTGAATCGATTCCAGTAAGCTAAAATGGGTCTCGACGATGACCTTCGTCTCCTCATTTGCCAGGAGGTCCGCATCTCTGGCAATCGCCTCGAGACCTGAAAGCCCGCCCCGCATCTCGCAGCTCAACTTGCAAGTTCCTGACAAGGCATGGGTCACCGTAGTGAGGAGGGTGTGTAGCACACGGCACGGCAGGCTTCAGACGGTCTCGAGGCTCTGACTGATCACAGCAAAGACATAGATCACCTTGGACAGTTCTCAATCCATAAGTCTCTGCTTGTGGCTCTTTTTTCCCCGTCGGCTTGCTGCTGTTGCAAGCGAGTCATGTCAACCTTCTTCCCGGCTTCCTATAAGTTTGCACGTCGTCGCTGTGTTGCCTTGCAGCCCGTGGCTTTCACGGATTCAAGAAGTTCGCAAAACCCTTGGCCACTCTAGGCCATGACCATCCGTGGTTGCTCAACCGATTGGAAACCGGACAGTGGCGTTGTGATCACGAAACAGGCGAAAGCTTGCTCATGGAACGGTTCTGGGATTACGGTGAAAATTGAAAACACTGCATCAAAATCCAAGCCGTCTGTGCTAGGCGAATTGGCAAACGGATCACTCTTGTCCGCGTCTGTCTTTTGAAGAGTCTGGATGTCGGGGCAAGTTCCTTTATAAGTGTTGAATCTATGACCGCGAACCTGCGTCTGCTGTCAGCTCTTCTCTAACACTCTCGGATCACACAGTCAGTTAGGTTTTTTCCGTGGTTCCTTTCACTATCCTACTGGTCCTCGGGTTGCATCCTTGTTCTAGAGTAGAATCTCTTCTTCCAGGCTCTACATGTATCACGCAAAAGGCCACTACTGACGTGGATGGCAATCAATACTGAATCCAAGCGCAGAAGTCTTTATCAACATTCGTGGTCACATCGTGCTGTGTGATAACCTCACACGAACTCGCTGGATATGGTGTTTGGTATTCTTTGACGGTCAATAAGTCCATACGAGCGCTGCGGAATGCTGCTGGGGGGGTACTCGGCTCTGACCGGCCATTTCGATTGATGATAGGTGGCGAAAGATTGCCCGTTGCCACGTGCGAATGTGATATTGCACGTGTCTACCGTGAGCGTTCCTGGAAACGAATATTTGCCTCCTGCATGGCTGAATACACGAAGCAGGAGATAGGCAACACGGTTTAGGAAACTAGACTCTGCAGTGAAAGTCAAGATCATTCTCATCTCTGGAAACGAATGTGGAAGCTTGAATTGGTTCCTTGTCAAGTGGACAGTAGTTTAGGAGGGCCCCCTCTTTGGCCTTTCATGTATTGGTTGCGCCCCTGCGGTTTGTCGAAGGCCAACAGAAGAACAACTAAGCACAAGCCACATTCGCTTCTGACGAGCGACATGGCAGAACATCCGCATCCATGAAACAGTCTCCAAGTTTGGGCTGTTACATAAATACATGAAGCCATCATTCACGATGAATCCACTTCAGTTTCCATCCGTGTCCAAACATACATGGCCGCGGCACCAATACCCAGGTTTAACTTTAGCTAGTCAATTAGTCTAAAGCTTCGCTGTCTTCCTCAGACAAAGCCCACGAGGCTTCCACAATATATTATATTTAGCATGTTGATCCAAGACATGTCTTCCCACCGGGTGAGCTTTTCTCAAGACGCCGCCTCAGAAGAATCATAAAGACAGGAAAGCACGCCAAGAACTAAGGTGCGTTATGCCAAACACTTCTCCAACAGTCTAAGTCAAGGGCATGCAAACGGATGCGCTGTGGCTCGGGGCACACCGCCATAAACAGCTCTCGCCACATCACGTTCCCCGAGGAGCTTACCCAACTCAATCTAATTATGACATGTCCTAGGAAAAACTCATCCGTGATAACAAGGCTTGGGTCAGTACTAGTATGGTACTCACGGACACAGAGCACTATCGAAGTATGCCAGAGCCAAGGCCAACCACTTCGCGTAGCTAGCAGCTAGTTGATTCAAAAACAACCTCAGAGACTTATGTGCGACGACCTGGTTAGCGAATAACTCGAACAAGCGGCGAGCACCAGAAGACCGAGAACGGAAAACATGGTTTCACCTTGGCGGTTGCTTGAGCATGGGTTGCTAACAGAGTGCTCGTGCGGAGTCTCGACAGAAGCCAGGATGCCGGAGGTAATTAGTCCGTAGACCAAGCGCCAAATCGTACGAAGTTGTTTGACCCTGCACGGCACCGCGTTAGTGAGAAGACTCTGTGTTGACCCGAGACGTGGGCTGAGGCCCCTGCATCTTGAATGCCCGGACGAGGCGCAATAAACGGAGCGCTCTCAAGACCAGGACCTTCGGCCAGGCCAGGCAGCAAGGGGTGCGGTTAACTGGGACTTGCCAGGCAGTCAAGCGGAGTCTTCGGTCTGAAGGGAAAGGCGGCACCAGGCCACAGGGCCTGCTGCATGGCTTGCGCGACCGGCTCCGAAAAGGCGGCGATGATTTGGCCCAGCAGAGTGATAACGACCAAGACGAAGTCAAACTGAAACCATCGGTCATAGAAGCACTTCCTGGGCGCACGACAAGACCGCTCAGCCAGTCGAGCTGTTCGGCCGTCCTCTTTTGAACTGAAAACTCACCAGAGCTGTACTTCCTAAGGCAGTCAGGATCTACGACACACCTAATTATTAGCCGAGCGATGCCAAGAACTGGCACCCCCATGCAATCGTGTGACTAATGAATACGACGTTGCAATACCTACACTGCCGACCCTTCGCTGGCCATCGAAAATCCAACTCATGCGAGGTATGAACACCTCAGCGAACCCAATCCATGGTGGTCGGACAGCATTGGAGCGCAGCGAGCCTCCGACCCCGTCGACTCCTGTGGACTTCAGGCCCACACAGGGTCCTTCGCGAAACGGTAGCATCGCGAAAGAGCTGCCGGCTATGCTGAAGATGAAGCCGCTCAAGATGAGCTAAACATTCGCCGCTCGTGGCCGCTCGGGGGCCCAAGGTCTTGAGTTCTCGACGTCAGCTCAAGCTGCGAAGCCGCATCCGGAAAGAACCGAGGATCCACGCCGAATCTGCTGCTGATGATCTTCCCGTAGGGACCAATCAGGACGCTGGCTTGACTGCGAGACTTTGCATCCAATCTCAACTGCAGCTAAGGCGCTGCCCCTTGGCAACCAGACGCACCGCGAGCTCCTGAGTCCGCATCTCGATACAACAGTCCCCGGATCATCTGCACAGCTCACAACGTCTTGCTGACGCCCTCTCCATGTACGAACCAGGAAGCCACCGTGTAGATGGTCAAGAACGTGACCTCCAAAGGCCTGGCACCATGCAGAAGAGCATGCTGACCCCCGACGCATTAGACTAGTCAGTTGCCTTGCCCAGCTGCTGGTATCTCGGGTCAGTGCAACTTCTGACTCGACGCCGATCAAAATGGAGTTTACCTGAGAATTGGCGCCACTCGTGATTTGATCGTCGGAAATCAAGAAGAATGTATGGCAGGGATGCCATCAAATCATTTGCAACCTGTTTAATTGTGGGCTCTTTCCGTTCTTTCTCTGAAATTTTTGAACCGGGCGCTTGAGTGGATCCGTACTCATCTCGTCTGTACTGCTCTCGTCTTCAGTGTAGGTTCGCGGCGGTTCCTGCTTCACCTGCAAATCTGAACTGACAGAAGAGTCGTAGCTCCGCAGCGTCAGATCGTGGAAAGTGGGCATTCGGGCCACTCGTCGCCCAGGCGTGAGGAACCCAAACCAAATCGCTGCTTCTGGCTTGGAATCAACCGAGGTAGCGCATCCTGGTGGTATCCGCCATGTTGGACCGCCCGTTTTGCAAAACCTTCTTGAGCAGTGAGAATTTCGCCGTGCATTGCCGGAAAGGTGCCAAAGCACCGAGAGTTCTGTCTTCATGTTTATCTTCCCTTCAATCCCGTCGCATGTGCCTTCCAATGCTTACATTTCTTGCCAACTTCAGTTTGTCTTGTGAACGCTGGTTACGGGACATCCATGGTAGAAAAAAATGATTCTGCCCCTTTACCTGGCCTTGCTCGGTCATTTCCATACGCACCTTCATTGAAGACGCTGTCACAAGCCGTGACTCGTGACTCAACTGAGTGAAATGATTGCCCAGAGCAACACACAATGTCTGAAACAGACAGATGCAGGTCAGGGTGCGATGATCACCACGCAGACAATTCCCTCGAACCATCGCCCGATACGCCCTTTCTCATCAACCAGCATCCTCAGGGGACAGGACGATGAGCGAGGAGATGCTGGAAGCACATCTCAACGGCGTGAGGTCCGAAAAATGTTGACCACAAAGGACGGACAACCAAAACTTCGAGCGATGAAAGGACCTTTTGTCAGAGCGATGGTGATCAGTGGGATGATGATGACGCTGATGATGGTGGTGCTGATCACCGTTTCGGTGAGAATACTGAATCAGCATGCGAATCGAAACTTCCAGAAAGTAAGAACGGTAGATACCAGTCATGCTGATGTCATATGGGACACCAGCATCACTAGAATACTGACTCGCAACTCATGGAACAGTGCAGTGCAGCCTGTCCCACATGCGTTTCTAGAGGACGCTAAAAGAGCCACTGTCATCTGTGACTCTCTTAGAAACTTGTCGCACCAGCAACAGATTGAAAATATGTGAGGATATGCTGGTCCCAGCAGGAACCGGGATAGCAGAGCATCAGTAAGATAAGCAAAGGGTCGCAAGAGCCATGGGGATGTTAAGGGCAATTGCATTTACAAAAGGGACAACAGGGAAAATCGGGATGGCTGCATAAGTAAAAAGTAGCAACAGTATGTGCAACTGCAGAATTAGATCACTGGTGAGATGCGAAGGATCCTGGTAAACGCTTTATAATAGGAATCATAATCAACACAGAACGGTGTCTCAATAGAAAATATGGCTCTTCGATGGCTCTGTCTTCGTCTTCAAGGTGGCTCTGTTTTGCTTGGACTTGCACGAATTTGCTATTTATTTGGCATGGTCCTGACGATCTGTTCTCACTACAAGAACTGTAAGAATTCTTTCTAGCGGTTGCCATGCAGACTGTCTGAATGAATCGCCACAGCTGGGCCGTCAGGCACTACGGAGTATTGCATCTGCGTCACTTGGCAGGCTACCAAACATTCGTTGGCAATTGACGAGGTGCGGCGCGGCCAAATGAGCGTCTAGAGTCGTCGGCGTCCAACGGGTGCGACACAGGGCACGGGGTGAGGCGAGGGCAGTTCCACCGGTGGGGGGTCGCGATACGGGATGCGGCACGGGAGTTCCAGCTGTGGGAGACGGTCGCGATACTGGTGTGCGGCGCGCGGGGTTCCAGTGTCTGATGCCGCTGAAGTACGATTGGAAAAACATGCTCGTGTGACTTCTCGGGAGTTTTGCCTTGTGGATGGCTTTGGGGTTCCCGGGTTGACCTTGCTTTTGCCCTCCAACTTAGCAAGGACGAAGCCCGCATGGCAGAGTAGTTCAGGTAACATATGACAGCATTAACTTCGGTAACCAACCCCAATTGACCCCAGTGTGCAGGCAGCTTGTTGGCCTATTCACTAGAGCACATCCGTCACGGATGTAGAAACACGCATGCTGCATATGGGCGTCAACAAGGTCACTCCCTCAGCACTTCAACCTCAAATGGTGCAGCAAGCACTCGAAACACGAATAACTGCCTTTCATAGTTGTTTCCAGAGAAACCTTGTTGGTGGGAAAGGTTTGCGAACAAGAAAGTGCTGTCACATGAGCAGGTCCTGCACCAAGCCTTGATGAACTGGTACACACCATCTTTGCAAGATGGCATGCTGGCCACCGGAGTCTTGATTTGAGACTGCAGCTTCGACAGCAAAGTTCCTGGTTGTCCCCCGCTCTGCTCATCGGACTGCCTCAGTTTGGCAAAAACACGCTGGTCTCTCTTAGCGCTCTTTCAGCCTTCCTCAGTAGTTCCGGGCTCCCTGTTCAATGACAGCTACCCCGGCGTCGTTGCCTTCCCTCCGCGACGCCAGAAAATCTTTCTCAAGACAGAGCTCGGACGGACCCACCCAAGACTCTGCATGTTGCTTTGCTGCGGCAAAACACTTTTTCTGTGCGGCTCGAGACGACAGTTGGAGCCTTAACCTCAAAATACGCCCACCCATTGCTATATCGAAAATGCCTCCTGAGAGGGCCGTTCGAAGAGTGACCCAAGGCCTTCGTCATGCTTACCAGCTCCTAAGGAGCTGTCGCTTGGGCTGCGACGGGCTTTCGGTCGAGGTCTTCTCCGCCTTTTCCTCCTCCTTGTTGCAAGGCTGCACGGACGGCGAGGCAGTGCTCTTCTATTTCATCCAAGACACCAGCTCCGCAATGGCCTTGGCTGTTCAACATAAAAGGAAGGGAAAGAAAGAGCAGAGCGGCTTTAAGGCAGAAAGGCCTCTTGTTCAGATGAACGCGATGGCGCACCGGCTCTCACAGGCGAATCCTCGGTCCAAGACGACTGCCAGGCAATCTGGCAACGCGGAGCGAGAGAGCGCGAGTCCAGAGCCAAAGAGCCACCACCCCATGCGTCGAAGGCTCGATGGCCTGGTCACGGACTTCCATCGTCAATATCTCGGACGCCTGCAAGGACAGCGAAGGAAGCAAACAACATGCACATCATCTTGGCGCGTCAGCCTTCTCCGCGTCACTTGAAGGCTGAAACTTGCTCGAAAGATCATCAAGCGCATACCTGCAGTCTTTCATATCGTGTCAGTGTCAGTACCTGGTGGCCCCATCGGGCTTGTCACTAAGGCTTGACTCCTTGACTGAGTCATGTAAGCGTCATTTTTACTAATCTTGCCTGGCGGTCTCGACTTGTTCGCCCAGTTCTTTCATTACCACCTCCCACAAGTCGGAAGTCTAAGAGCCAGAGCAAGGGCAAATTGCCTTTCCGGAACCTCCATAGCATTCTGGTGCATTTTGACCGTGTCCATCATGTGCACCTTTTTCGTCAACCTCATCTCGATCGTGCCCGGCATTCGATGGTTGAATGGTGCGCCCAGGCACAGTCACAGCTATAATCGGAGTGCGTAACAAAACCGAAACCCTGCAAGTGGCATTTCTCGCAAGGTCTGGATATCCTGCAGGACCTCCGCGTCTGCTGAAATGGCGGTTGGTTCCCCTTTCCTCGTGATGTGTCATATGTCGCCGATCGCATGCACAAGTGTAGGATCCACTACTTGTACCGACTGACCGGACCCCAATCTGATCCAGTCATGGCACTCCACGGTGGAGACATCTGTAGACGAGTGGAAAGGTCCACAAACCAAGCAGGAGCTCATGGCTGCACACAGATGACAGCGACAGCCAAGGAAGCAAAGCAAATCAGGAGAACAAATAGCAACTGTCACATGGAGTCCACGGCCAAATGCAGCCCTGGAAGTCTGCTGATTTGCATGTTTTGGCTTGACTGCCTAAACCTTTGCCGGGGGTTGTTGCTGCGTGCCCGAGCCTGCGGTAGTTTGTAAACACCGCCGGCGATGGCATGACAATGGCAATCAACTGCACTGATTAGAATCGGGTGCTACAGCCGTTTTTGATGCGAGCTTGCTGGTTTTACGGTCACTCCGACACTTCTACTGAACTGGTTAACAGGTGGCTCGGAATTCTCAACGGAGTGCCACAGATGATGTCCATCTCCCAAGCATGATTTGGAAGCGCGCCGGCGCATCATCCCCCAGCATCACAACGCTGAGGTGTCTTCGACCCTGAGCATCCAACAATCGGATGCAGTGGGTGTCGGAGTCCTCAGACTCCTCCAGTTTGATGGTGGCAATCGCATCGGCATCCAATTTCAAATGAAAGGCGCCATCCTGCGACCGCAGCGAGAGAATCGCCCGGCCCTTGGGAGACTGGCCGATAGAAATGATGGCACGGCCCCCGCGCATGTCTGAGTTTGTCTCTATGATTGCCAGGCCGTTCAAAAGGTAGCGGCAAGGCGTCAGCTGCGCCATTTCGTAAAGAAACTCTCCAAGGTGCTCGACTCCACCGCCAGGTTTTCTGCGCTCCTCTGGCGAAAGCCTGCCCCATGACCGGTCGGAGGCCTTCATAGCCAGCCCGGAACTGGCACCAGCGCCGAATCGGGCTCCTGCGAAGGTTCCTTTCATTGAAAGAACCAGTGCAGCACCGAGAAGGCAGACGTATGCAAAACGGCATCTTCTGCCCATGACGAAGGCTGCAGCCACCAGCCCGCTCCGGGACTCTGTGGCAGACTTCACCTCTAAGGGATTCATTGTCTACAGAAGGAGGATTGCTGTATGGTTCTTGCGTCCTGCACACCTGGATGTTTTCTCATGCCTACCGGTGGAGCCGATTTTGCGATTTTGACCCAAACACTGCGGTCGCGGCATCCTCTGAAAGAACTGACAATAAGCCTCGCAGCAGGGAACATTCAAAATCAGGATGCACGCACTTTTTTCAAGCCGGAAACAAGCTGGCAATGCAGAACAATCCGCTCTTTGCTTGCTGGGCCATATGTGTTTCCCCCAATACTCTTAGGCCTGAGGCTGTGAGGCGCAGCTTTCTTTTGGATGGCTACAGCCTGGAGCAGCAGCGAACTTGCCCCCCCAGCATAGCTTTGCACCTTAAAAAATCAGCTTCCGTTCGCCCCCTGCAAAAGCAGAATTCCAGCCAACTGCCCAGAGCCCATGGACCCCAGTTCAACCCCATTCGCCCGCTCAAGTTGTGAATCATGCACCAGCACTGAAGGGAGCACCACACGAACTGCTTGGGTGCAGCTGCCATTTTCAGAATCAGACTCGGCGGTCACTACCAACGTTTCAGAACTTGCTGCTGCAGCCATGAGTTGAGGCCCGGCAAGAACTAAGAACATGAGCACATGTTCACACCTCCTTGGACACAACATCCCCAGGCTTGAAAGGTTTGCCCAAGCATGATTTAGCAACATCAACGGCAAACGAAGGTGGTCCAGCTGAGTCCAGCTAGAGCTCGAGAAGTTGTACATGTTCCTCCCCCTCCCTTTTTCGCATTTGTCGCGGCTGTCTTCCTCCACTTCAAACCGCTCAAACAGCCTGAGACCAAAGGCACGGCCGTTGATTGTGCTGCGGATCTCTCCAAGCTCCGGGCGGTCACAGCTGCTCTTCTCTTTCGAGTTCGGGGTCGCTGGCGGGCGAGCACCTACGGGCTCTCACGTCGCTGGAAGGGGCTGCACCTTCTTGCACCCAGCCTCTTCAACCTCAAGAACACGGATTCGATGGACTCCCCATCGAACTAGCCGTGGTAGGCTAAGCCTTTGGGAGTGAGCGGCGACAAGTGAGGACTCGTCAGGAAGTCTCAGCTATGCACCAGTCCAACTTCTCCGGCTTCTCAGGTGGAGCTTGTCTGGCTTGGAAATCCCCCTGCAGGCACTCCAAAAGCAAGGGCAGCACATTAACCAAGTGCCACCGTCTCATTCTCTGCTGGCGCCTTGAGCAAGCATTCTGTCTGCTGAAGCTCCAGCGATGCACTCGCTGCCATTTGGGCATCCTCCGTGTCCTCAACTTTCTGCAGGACTTTCCTCACTTTGGCACAGGCGTGGAGGAAACCCTGCTATGCTGGCTTTGCAGGTCCGATGCTGCAACTTGGGAAGCCTTATTGAATCCTTATTGCCTGAACCTTCATTCCTCTTGATGCCACGTACCTTGGTCACGGTCGCTTGAATCTCCTACGAGTACAGTGGATGCCAGCTTCATCAGGCATTCTTGCTGTAGCGAGTCTGCTTTCCTACAATCGGACCCCCTCGCAGTCACAGTCAGCTGAGTCGGGGAAGAACCTTCTGCCTGAAACTGGTCTCGGGCAAAGCTTGACTCTTGCTTGCTCGGTGCTTCTCACGTCTCGGTCTGCCCCGCAGCTCTCGAGAATCTGCGTGTATTAATTTCACACGATGCAGCAGAGCTGCTCGAACTCAGAAATACTCGTGGGTTGCTCTGACGAGCTGCCTAGCCAGGCATTCCCGCATGCACACAGACACGAACACCGAACCACATGCACACACACACACACTCGTACGTAGAGGTTGAATCACGTCATGGCTCGTCACTGTGTGCATCGTGGCTCAAAAACAAGTTCAACATGAGATGCCGAGCCTGGAACCATCCCATGGCATGCACTCTCGGCAACATGACCGTTGCTGCGAGGTTCTGGATCCGATGCCAGAGGGCCTTCCTCGAGTGTTTCTGGCAGAAGATGGAGATACCAGCAAAGCTGAGACTCTTCAGACAAATCTCGCGATCCGGTTCAGGATCTTGCCCATCTTGCAGCATTGCACGCACCTGAAATGGGGGCTGGCACCAAACGGATGCCTCGATGCCCAAACCATCGCACCCCATCGGGTCCTCCGCAGCAGACCAGGCAATGCTCTTCGCTGCCACCGGTAAGCCGACTTCTTCTGGCTTTGCAGCCGCGGATGCACCTGACAATGATCCACGCTGAATTGATCAATGCGCTTAGAGATAATTTCTTTTTGCCAGATTCCGGTTTTGATTTTGATCCCGTAGGATGCTTTAGCAGTCTAGTTCGCGCTTTACCTTTGAGCTTCGATCTTCGTCGCATTCCAGCCAACGAATCCTGTGCGTGGAAATCTTGCATGAAGAGGTCTTGCCTAAATGCGTTCTCGCCCCACCTCCCACCACGCCATGCACTGCACACCGACGGACAAAGGTCCCGCGAAAGCCCCACTTTCGGTTCCGCAAAGGCGACAAGACGATGAGACAAACCCCTGAGGAAATGAAACAACAACTGACCAGGCTGAAGCGGTCGACGACGGTCAAGAAATTGCGTGCATGTCCTCGTTCCGTGTTATTATTGCCGGTAGTGCTCTCTTGCTGCTCTCTTTCGGGAAGGCTTTTGTGAGTTTCGGAGGTACACGCACACTTCGAGAAATCGTCGGAATGATCTACGCGCATGTTGCTGCCACTTCGTTTCTGAATCGTGCATGATACGAATGCATGGCAGCGACGTGGTGCCACGCTATTCGGAACCTGCCGCGAATTACCTGTCACAAGCAGGAGTCCACCACCCTGCAATGCTTCACAAAATGGTCGGCACGGGTCTTTGCACGCAAGAAACCGTGGATGTATGCAGCCTTTGTGTAGGTGCTCCAGTTCTTCCGTCGTAAATCGACCCTGGTCCACGACCATGTCGTCAAGCTCTCGCTTCCTCGTTTCTCAGCATGAGCAGCAACCTCAACCGCTGGTTACATATCTTTGCCACGATGCTGCAGCTGCCTCCGCCAAATGTTCTCCTGGTGGTCCAAGGTATGTCCAAGGCGGCATGCCGTATCAATCAGTCTTTCAGAAATGAAACATCCAATCGTGTGGTCGCACAGATCACTCCAGACGGTTCCTCGATCGTGTGGTCACTGACCAAGCGATAGATGTGCACTTCGCGAGTCTGGCCAATTCGATGTGCTCGATCCGTGGCCTTTGCTGCGCTGATAACAATCTGCGCACTTGTGATTGTTTTCCGCGCTCTGAGCTCTGCAAAGACGCAAGAGTTGGCTCATTTTCGGGCCTGTCTGTCCATCGCCGGGTTCCAGTCGGAGTCATAGAAGATGACCTTGCAAAGCATAAGGTCGGGTCCTTCACATTCTGCAGCACTTTTTGCAGATCAAAGTGGCAGTGTTGGCACTCATCAAATTGATGCCCACACCGCCAGCCTGAACCAGATTAACCACAACAGCTGAAACGGATAAAGATCAAAAGTGTGACCCATGACATCTCATGACTACATAATGGCCCTCTGAAACAGCCAGCTTCCCTTGCTGTCGCAAGGAAGGCTCCAGTGCCACTTGCACTCGAGCAGCACGCGTCGAGCATATGAAGAGGAAAATGCGCTCCTTAGCACACAACGTGTCCTAAACCGCCGCACTTCCAGGCTCAAACTCTCTTCTAAGGATCGTCGTCATTAAAACGATCGACCAAGTCCTGCCGCCTGTCCACCTGGCTTCCACGGACGAGATATCATGAAGTTCGAAGTCTCTGCCCACCTTCACTGCCGAATCCATGCGCACGTAGGTGAAGCTATGGTGGCACACCTCAGCAGCTTCAGCATTGAAACCGTTGATAATGACATCGTCGAAATCGACATGGCCAGCTCTTGGAAAAGTGGGTGCAGAATGCATCTCCCAACCATGGCACAAAGGTCTCGAGGACATCCAGCATCTTGCTGAACTGGGTGAAGATGATGCCTGTACTATGAACATCTATGAACGCCAGCTGTTGCTATTCCTGGTTGGCTCGACTTACCAAGCACGAGGCATGTACAGTTATATTCAATCCAGCCGCACTTGTCATTCCGGGCTTTGAACTCTTTGAGCATAATCGCCTCTTTTGCGCGAGCCATGCCCGCAACAAGCAAGGCCGAGCCGTCTCTGAGCCAAGCACCAGTTTTCTCAGCTTGCCACAATCCGATTCCAAATGATGCCTCAAATTTAATGCGAGGCGTCAGCTAAGGCTAAGGAATGCAAGCTAAGCTGTCGCCTTTCTGCAGTGCCTGCAGGCCAAGGTGCTTCTCAGGCAGATGGCAGCGCAAGCGTCCATCGAGGACCTCTGCCAGGCTCTGCCACCGACACGAACATCCCCATAGAGAACCTCCCCGATTGATACTTGCCCGCTTTGCTTCCATTATCATTCTATCGATTGTGCAACATATACATATGTACAGATAACAGACAGATAGATAGATAGATAGATACGTGTATGTGTATATATATATATATATATATATATGTGTGTGTGTGTGTGTAATATATTATAGTTAGTATATTGTATCATCTTATATATATATATATATTAAATACATATGTATGTATGGATATTTGCATGTCTGTCTCCCCCTGAATCGCCATCAACGGTCGCGTCTGCACAACATCCGATCACTTCCACCCGTTGGCAACACTCCGGTATATGAGGCTGACCGAACGCCAGGAACTACTTTTTTTGGTCTCAAGTAATCCAGTGCAATCGACGTCTTTTCCAGGCTGCGCCCGACGAAGCCATAGGTCGAGGCACTCACTCCAGCTCATGTTGCAGAAAAGCGAAGGCAATGTTCCAGCAGCCTGCGAAGGCTTCTCAGTGTCCACACCGCAGGTGCCAGACCCTTCGTGGCCCATGTGGTCGAGGTGCTCAGGTCAAGACGGCGATGCCATCGGAATGGCTCTGCCAAGACCACACCTCGAAGTCTCGGATGCTGAATCTATGCCTCCGATGTCTCCCGAAGATCTAGCGGAGTCTACAGTAGCTGTTTTGGGGTCCAAGGTGCATGCGGCCGCCGGCCGTCTTGGACTTCCCCCGGGAACGCACGCAGCTCGAGGCCAGAAGTGCTGCGAAGGCGCTGGAGACCTCAGGACATGGCCCATGGCACTCCTCACCGCTCTCAAAGCCTCATAGCACCTAGGATCACCTAGGACCCAGGACCTAGACAAAGCCGACGTGAACCAAAAGCTCCAGCACCTGAGGCCGCTTGGCCCATGGATACCTCCTGAACAATGGATCTCAGAACCAGCTGCTGAGACTGCGTGATTTGGAATGACCGCGATTCCTGCAAGTGCACTGAACAACAGGTGTAGCGGCCATCAACGACAGCTGGATATCCAGTGCTTTGAAGATGCGTTCGAATTTGGTGATTCCGTCCCGTGTGTATCCGGACACAAAGCACGCTGAGCATCTCCTCTGACGTACACTGACCGTGTGCCAGAAAGCGAAACCATGTCAAAGCTGCCCTTCCGTCACAAGAGCCACTGGACCTTGACCGAGTCGGTCTCTCCTGAGCTAGACTTCTCCGTGCCACCATGTCGATGGGCCGACAACACTCCGTCAAAGATGCAGGCGCAATTCCATGACAGAGTACAAGATATTCTCGAAACATGGAGAATGTGTTGATCTGCAGGCGCAGAGAGTATAATCCTTGGAACGTCGTTCCAGCCAATATTAGGCCCGAGCTCGGCACATCAAGGCGATGAATGAAGCCGTACTGGAAATCCGACAGAAAAGGCAAGGAGTGTGATGGATATTCTGCTCTGAGAAAATCAGACAAGAGGCGCTGGTTGCTCAGCTCACTCTGCGGCCCATCTACTTCCCAACCTGGTGGCTTGAACAGGACGGCCATGCCAGGAGTGCTGAAAACTATCCTTGGCAAGTCGCCTGTGCCCTCTGAAGCAGAACATGCTCTTTGCTGGACGTTGCGAGTGGCAGCACAACTGTCCACCTGCGTTCCAATCTTCGACAGCTTCCATGCCAATTCCCCGCGGAGCCCAGGTGACAAGACGCTTGTAAAGGCGAAAACCCACCTCTGGCTGGTCAGGAGAACGAACAAACACAACCGAGGCACTTTGATGTCACCCATCGAAGCACTTAGATAATCTTGGTGCTCTCCGAGACACGACACTGAAACGATTGCAAAAGCCGTGTCTTGTAGTCGCGCCGTGGTCAAGAAGCCTTACATTCAGTACGTGCGATGTTCAACAGGGCATACGACAAAATCAACAAACACACCCGGTTACGGCCACCTTGGAGGAATCTAGATAGGGAGATGCACAACCGCAGTCAGCAGTAAGTGGGCAAGAGTGCGGGCGCATAGCCTAAGTTTCGCTAATGCCTGCGCCTGCTTTATCCTCCGCTTTACCATCGCACATGCTAGAACAGCGGTATTGACCAGTTACTAGTGACTAGTTCTCACGCAGCTTGTGCACTGCACCCAAGCCTGCAGGCCTCGGTTCGCATACCAAAAAAACTTAGGCTTTTACGCAGTCAATCGGCCATCTTGGAAGATGCTGTCCACTTTCAAGAGGAACTCTGCTGCAAAATCATGGAGTAGAGGCACATCCAAGCACCTCAGCTCGCGCGACCCTCTTTGCAACAGACCATGTACCGAGACATCTCAAGGTTCTTCGTAGGCTGCAAGGAGGCTCCAAGCAGGCGAGGGCCCAGGCGGTGTTTGTCAGATCCTGCAGGTCGAGCTCATGCAGGCCCTCGCCCTCGTCCAGTCTATGAACCATGATCACCAGAGATGGTGATCTGACCAGAAGCACTGCGAAGGCCCAGCAGAAGTTGGAACGGTTCTGCGGGCTGGACTCGGACAAACGCTCCAGAAAATGCAAGGCGCTTGAGGCCATGAGCGGCTCGTCCAGGACAAGGAGCTTTGCGAGTGCCCAAACCATGTTGGAGACGGCCTGGGAGTCAAAGGATGACAGGGTGTCGAAGGCCAGGCTCTGTAAGGCTGCCAGCATAGGTCCATGGAAGAGCTCCAGGATCGCATAGGCCCAGGCAATGTTTGAACACTGCTGGAAATCCATCCCCTGCGCCTGCACGCATCCTACAGCCTGCGAGGCCATCATGTCGAAGAGTGACATGTCCAGGTAGCTTAGTTTTGCACATGCCCAACACACACTGGCCAACGTCAGTGGGGACGTTTCGCTTGTCTCCATCAGCTGTTCTGCCAGGCAGCGAATCAATCCCTGCAGCTCAGGGCAGTCTAGAACTTCAAGCCGATCTGATGCTTTCGCCACACGGTGGAGAGCTGTGGATAGATTCACCAAATGAAGCTGGGGCAGGCTGGTGCTGCAGAACTGCAGCACGCCCTTTGCACTGGTCTGTGCCACAATGCCAAGACTCAGCTGCAGGTCCCACCATGAGGATGACTTCCAGCCCTTCTGATGGCGCCAATCTTTTGTGGAGGTACCTCTGGTCAACAAAAATGTGTTCACAAGTCCTCACCATTCCCCAGATCGAAACCCCTTCACACAACACCGAACACCAGACAAGCGTCGACTTCGAAGAAGCTGCGGCCCGACAAAACCACGATCCGAGCTGCACATAGCGTAGATTGGCAGGACTCGGACAGGGCTTCACCAATTCGCAGATCATGTCGGATGCAAATCCACGCCCGGGAAGAGCTGCACCAGTGCGGAGGAAACATCCGGCAAATGCTGACCGGGCCGGCAAGGAGCCAAGGGAGCCGAGCAGGGCTGCACCATTACAGCCCTGAGAGCTACACCAAAGAAGCTAACGGCTGCAAGCATCTCAGCAAACCTGAAAGCGCGATTAGGTATTTGACCCTTAAGACTCTAAGACCCTATCGGAAAACTCGCGAGTCTCAAACAGCCCACCGCTGGCCCTTGACTTCAAGCGCGATCTCACAAAAGTTGCTCGGAACACTCTTGCTAGCTTGAAGATTCTGGAGTTCTCTCTGGCTATCACTACACTCACTACACCTCGACCGAAGGTTCCTGCAGGCCCGCAACAAACATGCTAAAGATGTCGGGCTACATCCGGGTAGGGGGGTTTGGGCCTCTGAGAGAGAGGCACGACAATAAGATTCTGTTGGTCTTAAGGTCTTAAGTGCGACATCGTGGAATTTCCTTCGACCTCTTGGCCGCCCACGTCGCGTGCCGAGTCTCCCATCGCTCCTGTGCCACTCGGGACTAACTAAGCAGGGGAATTGCAAACAAAAACTGTCTCACACGACATGGTCTGACTGGGCTGGATCCTGCTAGCTGCATCGGTGACCGTAGCATGCAGCATTTTGCGCAGAACCTGGAAGAAGCATGGCTTTGGCAGGGGATGAACCTGAACTCTGTCGTTCCTCATGAGCAGCAAGGCCTCGCTTTGGTGTCCGCCGCATCTTGTTCGCCGAAAGCAGAACCACTTGACGAAACCTGCGTGCTAAGACTTCTTTGACTTCACGCACTCGAAGGCGAAGGGAAACTGAGGCTGGTCCTGAACTCGAGGCACTCGAAATGCCCACATGCCCACTCGTGCTGCAACGTTGCTCTCGAGATCGCCTCAGCATTTCAGCATGGCTGTGCCAAAGGGTGTCCCTCGGTTGATCACTCATGCTGCTTGGCGGTGAGTTCGCTGGTACCCAAGTCCTTTACATCTGGTAGCTTCCTTACCATGCTCACACCGTCCCATTTCATCGTGCAACCAAAGTGTCGAAGGATGCTGCAAGACATCGCAGCAAGCGCCCCATCAAGCTGAGACAAGCAGGGCAGCAGGGCCATGATTTGCTCAACGATTCTGAGAGGACTGTCAAAAATTACCATGCCAGCCGCTCTTCTTTTATCCTTGAAAGGTTTCCGATGAAAGCATTCGGAAGTTTGCATACGCGCCTCCGAGCTCCAATAACACCTGAGTGGCCATGGTGACACGACAGCATCGGGTCACTTCCGCTCTCTCTTCCGCCTGTTCCTCCGCCTCTCCTCTGGCAGGACAACACCTCGCCTTGGCTGAGCTCTTTACTCGACAGGGCATTGCGAAAACAGAAACAAAGCTTTCAGATTTCAGACAGCTTTCAACAACAGGCATGCTGAGAGTCCCGCGAAGCCAGTGACAGTCGCATGGAGGACCTGACAGTTGTCGAGGGTCTCTGAGGCTGAGACAGGTTTTCTGGTGCTTTCGGCAGTGCGGATAAGCAGATGCAGCAAATATCTCTTGACGAAACTAGTAACTAGATATAAAGAAATACCGCCGAATAGATGACCGGACTGAAACACTTCAACATAAGCCACGCAATTGAAGCATGGGAGGTGCACTGTTTTGGGGCCCAGTGTCCGTTGCAACTCTGGCCACATGAACGGCCGCGGTGGCAGGCCTAAGTGGTGCCCAAACTCGTGAGACCAGCGAGCGAAGTGACGAGCGACCGAAGTGGGTAGTCTCAACATGTCTTCATGCTTCAAAGACTCGCTTGGTCAGGCTGAAGGCCGTTCCAGATCTGCAATGAAGTGAGAGCCTTAGGGGAACGCTCTGGGATGTGTCCCGAGAACAGCGTTGCGAGCGACCGTTCATGGCCAGCCGACAACTCCATACCATCTGCACCGATCCAGGGACGCCCTTCTGAAACCTGAAGTGACAGAAGTATGCATCAGTCCGTACTATACGATGCATCGCAAGCTGCTGAGTGAATCAGCTGTGGACTGAGGTCTGGACCAGCTGCACCAAAAGATCGACGGCAGAGACAGCACTGCAGCGTTCGCGTTTTCGCTCTTCGTCCACGCGGCACATCTGCAAGTGCCACCTCGAGAAAGGGCACAGATACAGACAGGCTCGAAGCAGCCTGCCCGAGTCGACCAGCTTTTGCCGATGCTCTCTCTGCCCATACTCCGTGCTTGCGGGAGTGCTGATATCAGAGCTCTGAGGATTAAAGCTCTTAAACGTACTCCTCAATCGCCCCTTGCTTGGCCTCGCTGCTGCAAAGAGACGGAACCGTAGGGCTTTACTCAACATGCTCTGTGCCGCATGCCGAAGCATTCGTTCGAATTGCTGCTCTGTTGGCCTGCAGATAAACAGTCGGCTAGGCTGGCTGTTTGTCCCGGAGTGGAAGCCGAAAAAACGGCACTTACGAACAGAAGCGTTAAGCTGAGACTAAGGCTGCAGAAGGTGCGAGTTGTGAAGTACCGCCCCTACCGCCCGAAAGAGCGCGGATTTGACGGCAACACGGCTCCCTCCTCAGCTACTACTAGGGACCACTGTGGCCGGCTGACCTGGTGCTGTCTGCCTGACTGGTCTGAGTACATCTCGGTCCGGACGTCGAATTCGCTCGCCGTATGCGCCCATGCTGTGACCTACAGTGACGTGTGTGGAGAGTGCGGCGACTGCCTGACGATCTCTTTTTTGGTTCGCTAGGTTGTGCTGACCAATCCTTGCGCAGATGTGATTTCTTCCATTCTTTCGCAACCGGCTGCTGCGACTTCGCCAGGACGAACGCTGGAGAACGAGACACCCTTTGTGGATCTTGCGATCTCGACAGTCAATGTCCTATGCTCCGTCGCTTTATCCTCCGCACGCCGCGAGCTCGCACGGCCTGCACTTCGCAATCAATGACAATCAACCTACGCAGTTGCAGACTCGTTGCGGCAGTTTGTCAACGTGCTCTTTGATTTGGAGGATATTGATGCATCGCTTGTTTCACGGTGCCACTTGAAGCAGGCTGGATTTCAGCTTGTTGGGGCTTTTGGGTGGCAGGGGATATTTTGCCCTGCCAATGCAAAGCACCGTGGTTTGCAACTTGGCACGCGGCTCATCTAGAAACTCTCGGCTGCCCGGTGAAACCTGGCACCTGGCAGTCAGATGCTTGCACACGGGAGGCCACTGTCGGGGGTGTGACAGGCCTCAACTCGGCTGCTGCTTCCGACACGCGCCTTACCAAAGACAGGAAGAAGATGCGCGCAATTGTTGGCTTGGGGACTGCCTCCTCTTCGGAGCTTGGTGCAGGCTCATTTCAACCACCTGCGACTACGGCGCTCATGACAACTCTCCCTGCGTACGCAAAGTTCTCACAGGCCTCGGAGATTGGCAGAGCCTTGTGATTCTGGGTCTTCAACATCAGTTCGAACTTCCACAAAGAAATCCTCAAGGACTCCAAGGTCTTCGAGTTTATCGAATACAGGCATTACAGCCTTCCATCATTTGCTTCAAAGCGTCAATGGCAGAAGAAGTGCACAAAAGTTCTCCTGTTGCAAATGCAATCAAATGCAGGTTTGTCTTCGCTTACGCTATCGACCGATCTTGGAAAGCTCCTCACGGCAAGACCTGCCGGCCACATTCAGCCACAAGTCCAGTGACACCAGTGGCGGAAGTTTGACGGCCAAAGGATGCATGACGAAGGAGGTGTCCTCGAGGTGTCTCTCAGCTTTTACCTAACTGCAATCACATGCAGAACCTACTTGCTGCAGAGTCACTGCACCCCGAGGTTCCAGGAGCTCTGGATGATTACACACTTTTCCTTGTGCGAAGGCAAAGCTACGGGGTGCTCACAGGCCCAGGTGCCAACATAACATCCACAGCTGGCTTCCTTGCTGGCTTTGTAGTCATGCTGTGCCTGCCTACAGTTACAGGAGTGGCAGAGACTGATTTCTGCCTTTCTGCTGAGGCGTTGGAACCGGTCTTGGCACGCCTCGGCTGTGGCCTGAAGCTCTATGCCGCCCTTCCTGTTTCGTTCCTCGCTGGTGGATAACCACGGGGCAAAGATGACACCTCAAGCCAAACTTCTTGGTGCAATACATTACTACTAGCAAGCCGTCCTTGTGGCTCCAGGCAATTTTTGTTGGCAGCACAGGTTTCCAGCATTTACTACCACATCCTAGAACAAACTTGTGCTCCAGGCATTCCATCGAGCGCCAGGTGTCGGAGCTGCATGAGAATACCTGCAGGCAGCCGGTGAGCTACGAGGATGCGAGGGAAGGTCTTCATCGTCTCCAGAGGTGCCTAATGGTTGAGAATGCTAGATTGCAGCTCAGGTTGCTCATCATTCTGAGGTAGTCACCCTTCTTGAGGATCTGCTGCGTCTGGCGCCTGTACCATGCAAGCTGCCCATTTCATTGCTTGCAACTCGACGGCACCATTCATCCATCCCGACTAAGCCTTCTCATAAACTCCTCGTAGAGGACCTGCTGTCGCCGGGATAGAGGGCAGGATACCTCAGCAGACCGGGTAGCCCACCCCACCACGACTCCTGCCGCCATGATGCTGAGACGGACAGTTTGAAACCTGACCACCCTCTAACTCCCACTGCGGCGCTCCCCGTAGCCTATATACCTCTTGAGTAGCTTTGGGTGAATGACGACCGGGGAAAACTAACAGCTTGAACCTTGAAGGATGCTCCCGGATCCGGGTTCAACAAATCCGTCTACAAATGGTGCTAAGAGAAGGCACAACGTGTTCGTGCTTCTTTGGCAACTGACGCTCCACCTCGCTCTTCAGCCTGCGAAAATGTCGGCCGGAAGCGGACCCGGTCTCAGGCAGGCAAGCATTCCCACCTTCGCAACAGAAAGGGTCGGATGACCTTGTGTAGTCGCGCCACAAGCTCCTCCCGGCACAAGAAAGAAAAAAGGCCAAGGCCCTGTGTGACTGTTTTGATAAACTGCTGGGAGCTCCTGCTCCTGTTTCACACGGTGTTCGTGCAAGGCCAGGTGCAGCGGGTCTGCGAAAAATTCCTTCCAGGCCCCCAGGCAAAGCCACATGTCACACTCTCGCAATGTCGACCCGAAATCCCGCCTTGAAGTCTGTGTAAGACTGAAACATGTCCTCAGCTGCCAGTAGTCTGCAAGGCGTGTGCTGGTTTTGAGGCAAGCTGCAGATGGTCTAATGGACTGGGCGTGAATCTCAACTAGCCCCTGTCGTGCTACAGGTTGCAGCAAATGTACAATAAACAAGTAAGTCCGCTCGCTGGCTGTGCAGCCAGCTCCCTGGCTCGTATAATCGCAATAAAACCGGGCAAGGAGCCGGCATCAGAAAATGCAGCAAGGACCACAGCTCCGTCAGATTGTTTTGCAAAGGTGTCCCGGTCAGCAGCAAACGTCGCTCGGATTTAAAGCCTTGGTGTGTCAGTAGCACAGATCGCATTCATCAATGCACCATTCTCGAAACCTCCGGAGGGTGGCGCCGAATGCCGCTGAGATGCGCATCAGCTGCTGCCATTTCTGGGAGCGATAGTTCCTTATGTCGAACTACGGATATCGGCCTCTTTCGCTTGATGCGCGAAAGCGCGTAGCTAGTATCGTCCGACTACACGTACTAGGCCCTACTAGGCCTACCAGGGCCTTGCTAGGGGCACTTTGCAGATTCGAGAAAGAAGGTACTGCATCGCACTGGTTGTTGCTCAGTACTTCCATGGTCAAAGTCTTTGCGCTGGATCATCTTGTCGAGCATTTCTTGCCATCGAGATGCTCCCAGCACCGTCTGTAAGTTTGAGGTCGCATCGCCATGGGCAATAAATACATGATGCAGCTATGGGTTGATGCCATGTCAGAAACGAACCCTCCCATGCATGGAACAAGCAGCCGGTACCAACAGAAGTTGCTTATAAGACCGTGCGTCTTGATATTCTGAGCTTCATCCAATATCAGGTAATACCACCGCTTCATTTTCCTTGGATCTTGACACGGAGCAATAGAGACAGGAGTGCAAACCGCCGGTGGAGCGGCAAAGGTCGAAGATCCTGCAGCACCACGGTGTACCTCTGCAATCTCGGCAAGCAAGGATGGGATTTCGAGACTGGCATACAACAGCTTCGTAGCTTGAAGGAGCCAAGCCACGAAGCCACACAAACGTGAAAAGCATCTTCACCGCCCCATCCGCGTCGCTTGTCACGGCGTTCCTGCAATGCTGCACGATCGCAAGCGCAGGACGCATCCAGGCATTATGGCGTCCTTCGCATTGCCATAGTAGGCGCACACCTTCAGGCCTGCTACGAGTCCGTTCTGAAGATGCTCACATGCTCTGCCATGCAATCGCGCTCTGCCGATGCCTGGAGCCCACTTTTGCAGCTCCTTTACCCAGTTCATGAGCAGCGAGGTGGGAACCACGACCAGGTGAGGACCCCAGACCTCTTTCCTCGTAAGAATGCCGGCATCGAGCAGAACGTTCAACAGGAGCAAGTGCAATCAAGTACATACTGCCGAGGTTCTGCACAGCAAGGTGGGCCAGCAGCGCAATGGTCATAATAGTTTTGCCAAGCCCCATCCTTCGTTTAAGCATAACGCGGCTGGTAATTAGTGATAGTGGAGCGCATTAGCACCAAGAACTGAACGTGCCACGACTGGTTGCTCACTGCGGTCAGGGTGCTCGTCAGCCAGTATGCCATTGAACTGTTTGTCGTGCAGGGTGGCGAGCCAGTGCAAGCCTTGGCATCAGTGTTGAACCCCATCGAGCAATTGGTGTGTGCCAATGTCTCTTTCTTGTCCAGACCGGGATGCCCGCCTATGTGCTGATACCTCAATCTTGCTGCAGAAGCACACAGCAAGGTAAGAACTCTTCAGCACAGAGCCAAAGGCGAATTGTGTATGGCTTCAGATAAAGCACTCGCGGATTGGATGTCGCAGCAGCAAGACCGGCACTTCGGTCGTGATCTGCTTGGACATATTGCGGCGATCGAAGTCATCGTAATGGAGCCTGACTTGTGGCAATTCCGAAACCCCGTGCTGCTCTGGATGCGACGAGTGGCCGTGGCGATCTTTCCAGCTCTTCCAAGCTGTTCTGCGCCTGCCCGAACCAAAGTTAGTCTGTAAGTGGTTTTGCAAAAAGGTGTGCTGTCCAAGAGGCATATTTCTCACTAAAAGCTGATCGTCAAATCTTCCCTAGCTCTGAAAACCTATTGGCCGCTTTGTGCCAAGTTTGTTGAGACAAGCAATTCCATGCCACACGAGGCTCAAAGGCGGGCGTGCTCGCAGAGAAAAGCACTCACGTCCCGAATTACGTCCAGGCGTTTATCCCTCTCAAACGGAAAAGGCGTGTGACCTGCATGGTCAGGGAGTGTGGGGGCATGCGGAGGGTCTTCTGCTTCGCTTGCGGCCAGAAAGTGCCGAGGATCTGACCGCCTTCGTGCTCAAGCACGCGCCGCTCCTCGCAAGGGACGTAGCTCTCCACGAGGTATTTGGACTGCGCCAAGTAGGGGTCGGCACGTCCCAAGATGTGCAAGGACGGAACGCCTCCTGTGGACAGAAGAGCACAAACCACGAGCTTCCCTGCTGCACCAGCTCAGGATTGGACTAATTGGAAGCCGCGGAGGGGAGCCCGAAGACCACCACGAGCGCGGAGTCTCATCCCAAAACCCCCAGATTCCACCACAGAGGTTCACCGTGCAGCGAAAGCCCAAGTCCATCTTGGAACAGGCCTTTGCAACTCAGGAGAAATGAAGATGAAGCGCGAGCGCTTGGCCATGTACCTGCCTGCTTCGCCAGCAAAGCTGCGGCGACGTTTGCACCCTGACTGAAGCCCACCGTGGCGAAGAAGGGTCCATTAGCAGTCACCTCTGCAACAGTGTCCTTAGAGGTGTCCGAGTCCTAGCTTCAAACTACATAAAAAGCTACAATCCCTGTCACCTGACAGCCTGGCGGCCTGGGACAATTCACAGCACTTTCTCGCACTTTCTATCTGGACATTGTGGGCCAGTCTCTTCCCAGACGTGCTCCAACCCGTCGGCGGTGTCGTGGCCCGCCCGCCAGCGCTTTGCCGGGTCCTCTGCTCCTGAACGGACTCAAGAAAACCTGTTGTCCCGCCTGGGCATCGCACCATGGCTGCTGGTCGCCTGGATCGTTGCGAAGGCTGAAATACTGCCATGCTTGCCGCTGGTGAGGCCGCAAGACGACGTTCCATGCACCCGATGCTTCGGGGGCAACCTGCCAGGAACCAACAAACAACGATGACACACCACTTGCTGTTTGGTTTCGTACGTATTCGCCTCGCCTCGGCCGGTAGATGCCCTTGTAGGAAACAGAAATCTAGCTGCGGGTTGCTGCGGATCAATCCTGCAAGCTGCCCACGGAAGTAAGCCTTGGGACGGCGGAATGCGGGCACTGGCTCGCTTGCAATACTGGTTCCTCCCACTTCGTTCCGGCAAGCTTGGCTGGGCTGTCTTCGCGTTCCTTCACATCCATGCACGGCTTGTTTGTCCGAAAGGGTCGGCCCCTGCACAACCTGCCATCCTCTACCGAAACGTCTTTGGCTGGATGGGCAATCTGCAAGCAAAACCCATCGCAAAGCGTCTGTGAAAAATGGAAACAAGTACCAATGCAGGCAAAGGGGCACTGTTCAGGCCTCGGCCGTGGAGGCACAGAACTCGAGGCTTCGCCACCATGGCGGCTAGTGCCCGGACATTTCTGTGATCACGGCCGTCTGCACGTGTATTCCCAAGATCTCCAAACTGTACAGCTTTGGTTACCCAGTACAAGTGGGCGTGTCAAATCCGGCTGTTTGCGCCCTGCCTTTTCTCGAAGGATGCGTAAGGTCAGATTCGAAAGCTCCGGAAGCCGGAAGCTGCTGTCAACGAAACAGTCTTGCATGCCGAATCATGCCGAAGCAATTGACTCCTACCATCGGTAGATGTCAGTAGGGAGTAGAGGCTGAGTAGAGGCCTGCTTCGACTCCGTCGAGCTGTCGCGCTTAGGCTCTTTCTCGAGGCCTTCTCGAGGTGCCTTCGGCTGCCCAAGCTGAAGCTGCAAGGCTACAAGTGCTGAGCTTTTGTTTGGTCCTGGTCTGCGAGAAGCCCCGTGGTGACCTCGCTGGAGAAGGCCTCGCTGCGAGAAAGCAGCGCCTGGGTCGACCCGGGAGCAAAGAACCAGAAACTTCTCAGATGGCGCAAGCCGTCGCGAGTGTGTTGCCTCCGGCCTGCATATTCTCGAAGTGTTGCTGGGTCCTAGCTGCATGTCTCTGCTGCACCTGGAGAGCTGACAAAATGCTTGATCACATCTCATATTATGTCATGCTACACTAGTAACCAGTCCTGCCGACCGTCTTTCTGGGACATTCAGGAAGTCTTAAGATGTCTTTAGAAAAACGCGCAAGGTCCACAGCAAAGTGCTCGGCTGCGCGACAGCAACCACTCCAGAACTTCGCGATCTCCTGCTGCATCTTGCCAAGTGAGCTGTGCGCTGAGCGTCTGTGAAGCCCTGCGTTTGTCCACAGCAAGCAAAGGCTCCTTGGCAATCCTTGCAGCGCCTGCACGAGCAAATCGCTGCTCCTCCTCCAGCCGCTGCCTTCAGTGGAAAGGTCTACTCTAAGCCGCACCTCCACGCTCCTCAGCTTGAGACATGGAGAAGCACATTGAGCGCCGCTCGCTTCATTTCGCTGTAGCTGGCGCAACAAAGCCTGAACCTAACAAGATGCACTGGGCAGCACGGAGCTCGGTCATGTTCCTCAAGCTTGTGCCATGCCGAGCGCCTGTTTCGCAGCTTTCTTCGCCACGGCCCGACGCTTTGCCTCCACACGGAGAACTGCCTGCGCAGCCCTGCGGACTTGGGCAGCTTGTGGCAATGCATCCTGGCAGCTTCGCAGAATTTCGCACATGAATGCAAATCCTGAAGCCTTGTGTACTGCTTGCGGCAAAGCAAGCGAACAAGCGAAGCCTCGGCAACGCCAGCATCCGCAGCTCGATGCTGCATGAGCCGGCGGCCGACACTTTCAGGATGTAATTGTCATGTCGTGCCTTACTGTGTTCACTGCCTGTAATCATAAAACCTCATAAGATCTGCCTGCCCATTGTTGCGGAATCGCAGATTCCACCTCCATGGAGAAAGATACAAAAAACACTGAAGAGCTTCAAAACCTTTCACCCAGGCACTGCAGTCGTTTTGCCTTAAGGCTTTGCTGAGTTTGGCTGAGCCGACATGAAGCAAGCTGGTGATGCATCGGAGGCTGCATCCCTTGTGTCTGCTTGTCTGGCCAACAGCAACAGGCAGAGTAAGTTTTCTACAAGGGGCTTGCTGCAGTCCCTTCCGTTTCGGAATGACAAGGTCCGGGCTACTCTCAACAAGAAGGCTTGCGATGCTTGCTGCTTGCTGGCCTCGCAGACAAAGCCAGCCGGCACATGCAGAAGATCATTGCGATGTTACAGCAGATACGCATGAACTTCCGACATCTTGCTGCCCTGCCGTGTAGTTCATACACACATCCCATCAGAGGTCGACAGTCGTCTATCTCTTGTGGACCACTGCCTGACAGTCACGAAGGAGCGGTTTGATGCCTTCGCTTTGGCCGACGAGCATGGACGCGTGTGGCAATTCCAACCTGATCGATGGCATAGGGAGGCCCTTGCCAGGGTCTGGAACGAGTGCCGGCATAGCCATTGAACATGGACTTGTCCGTCTCCTGAGCCGCATCAACGACACAATGAGCCATCCAAAGACAGCAGTTCTTGAACTTGCGACACGAGACGGGTGCGCGTAGTCGGTGCTCCACTGTGTCGTTAACGAGCCGGCTCGACGAAATCTCCAAGTGTAACCGCACGTAGGATGTCGAAGTCGAAGCCGAGGCCATTCCCGAAACGATAAAAAACATAAGGACATTTTGGATTCCAAGGCACCATTGATGGCGAGCACAGCCTCGAGAGCGCTGGCAAGGAGATGATCGGTCTGGCTGCAAAACGGTGGAAAAACAGACGAATCCCTGGTGTCAGACCCTCGTCCGATCCCACGAGCTGGCTTTTCGGGTCGTTGGCCAGCACATGTCCTGGGCTGAGTATGTGTGCATCCCTGCGTCCCGGCTACAGCTCACATTTGGCACGGGGCCAGAACTTCAGAGAAGCTTCTGCTGACCTGAGATACCTTGAGAGCCGTAGAGCAATTTCACCTGGTCCACGGGGTCCTCGAGACCGATTATCAAAAACTGACGCGACCCAGCTCGCTAGGCAGTACCGTAACTGGCCAGAGACCACGCAGAGCGCGCTGTGCAACCGAAATTTCCGATTTCAATCGCACCGGCACGGCGAATCTTGGTGAGATATTCGTTGTCACGATTCTGCAGCGGTGCCAAGGTGCACCCTCAAACATCACCAAGACACGCTCGTTTGACGAGCTTGACCCCGTTGGACTCGGAGCCTCGTCTCCCAGCTGCGAGTGCCAGCTGCCTGAGCCGACTGAGAGGGACAAAGAGCGGGAGTAAGCACCTCTTCGAGTGCCCTTAAAATGCCGGCGGCCTGGCTGAAAAGGCTTTCGTAGGTTTCGTCTTCCCTGACAGGACCACAGGAGTCTCTACAGTGACGTGCGCTTGCTATCAGATCTGCCGATCGCCTCTGCGGTGTTCTGCTAGTGTTGCTTGCCCGGGCACTTCCTTGCCGAGAAAGCATGCAAAAGGTGGCATGGATGACGAGCAGCATGCTTCCTTCGGCTCCACAACTAAGTAACTAAGCAAACCGCACAAGTATGCTTCAGCAAACCGGCACGACGAATACATACGAACACCATATTTCGGCCCGGAAAGTACAATACTGGATTTCGCCAAGGTTGCCGGACAGCATTGGGACTTGCCATCTTGAAATCCACTGGTGCAAATGTGCTGCCGAGACACGGCAGGATCCTTCAGTGTGTGGGGGCCTGCACCGGACAGGCTTTAGGCACATGCCAGCCCCTTTAGGTTTCGAGGCCTTGTACTGGTAGGACCCGAAAGACACCTTGAACTTGACCCGCGCGACATGCGTGGCGACTCAAGGGACATGCCAGAGGAATCAGACCTGCCCATCAAAACGGTGGACGACTTTGGGTGATTCGCCCTGGCAGAGCTTGGTCTCGATGGGGGACGAGAAGAGCTCAGCCAGCTTGGTGCATGGTTCGCAGAGCTGCGGCCGCTGTCGCTGCCGTGTTGCGAGGTGCCTACGCTGCTCTGAGGATGTGATGTCAATTCACTGTTGCGACGAAGCTTTGCCAGTGTCTCTAATCGCCCCGGCAGAGATCTTAGCGAATCGTCGTTTGTCGCAGCTTTGCTTGAAGCACTCGTTCGTCTGGATGTCTTCGCGGGAGTGCTCCATACAGGCGTCACTGGCTCTGAGCTGTCGCTGCTACCGCGACTTGCCCTCTGCAAGTCGTGGTGCCCGCGCGAGTTCTGGAAGATGAGCAGATCATCTAGTGCCACGATCCCATCTGCCATGGCACCTTGCTACTTTGTGAAGCAACCAATCCCTTGAAGGCTGTTGTCTGTTAAGTTTCACGCTTGGAGGACCCAGTGCAGTAGCAACACTGAGGATCACCCCACAACCTTCTCGTCCCACTGCGCAAGTGTGTCGGCAGCAAGTTCTCAAGATGTCGCACGCAAGACCACTTCATGTCAGCGTGTAATGCGCAAGTAGCTTTTTCCTTCGCTTGTTCTGGATGTTAACTGCCCAGGACTCCTTATGGATGGCCTCAGGCATCCGATAGCTTGGCCCACGCATGCTGTTGTCCAAACCCTTCGCTTGAACAGCACGCAGTCGTTAACGACCGAGTCTTCCAGGAGAAATACTCGGAATTCGACTGTTTGTTGTCATGTGCCGATTCATGATTCACATGATTCATGTAACAAGGAACGACCCGACACTTGGGGTGACACTTTCGCGCGTGACGGCAGTCCCTTTGACTGACAATCAGAAGCACTAAGTTCTAGATGGTGTATATCAACCAAATCATAAGGCAAGCACTGAATCCAAAGCTGACAGACTGGGTCCGTTGATGGGGCTGCCGAGTGTCCTAACCCATCCCTGTTTCAGGATGATCTTGCTCGCCTAGCTTTTGGGCAAGCCCGAGCTTGCCCACGAAAGAAATACGCACGTAGCGGCATCTTCCAGCCTGACTGGATATGCAGCTTCGGCACGGGTGGCGCGTGCGGCTGGTTCAACGAAAGACAGCAACTACAAACAGATCACACACCGAGGCATCCACGCACGCACTCTCACATGCAACTGGCACTATTAAGGCAGGTGCCGGCATTGATGAACTCAGACTCGACTTTCTTCCATCTGCGCGTCCCTCCAATGTATATCTTGTCACACATCCGAGACTCGATACTACGGCAAAGGCAGAGATCTGCTCAGAGCCCTGCATCGCTCCAAAACCTGTGCCACTTCGTCGCCGACCTGCCTGAAAAGTTCCGGTGCAGCACCCATCAAACGACTCTGCCCAGAGCAACACTGGACCACGCTTTCTACGAGTCTTCATGCCTGCGAACGCAGGTTGGAGAGCACCGACACCTGAAGCACAAAGCAAGGGAGGCTTGGAAAACGCAGCCTTTCGAAGACAAACAGTGCCTCCATGTTCTCAAGGCGCTGCGCGAGAACCTGGCGTTACCATGGACTCTTCGCTTGCTCTCACCAACTAAATAGCGGTCGGTGTATCGCAAAAGACCGCACCCTGAAGGCAAAAGAACGGAAGTTGAGAGCCTCACTCGTCTGTGCCAGTCTGTTGATCATACTGCGGGCCTACCTGCAGGACCTATGGTCAGGCAAGTGCCTTCGGCGGTGTTGGGGTTTTGGGACACTGTCGCGCATAACGGACCCCGCAAAAAAGTCGAAAGACTTTACTATTCGAGTTTAACTCCTTTTGGGACACCCCGTGCTTTTTCTAAGGAACCCGCCGATCTTATGTCAAGAGCGCACAGGTTGCCCAGTGATTCACAGCAAGCCATGGTGACCCACCGTAAGGATCGGTCATTCAGGTCGCAAGGCTCACAGACTGGGTTGAGATTTGGAGTCAGATCAGCCCGACCCAGAAGCTTCCACGAGGGTTCCCGGACGCCGTGCGTTCTTTGGTGTAGGGCTGGGCCGTTTCGATTTCGATGGCTCCTACATTGAAGCGCGCACCTTGAAGAGATCCTTCGTCTGCGAATGCCTGCAACAGGATTGGCAAGGTGCAGCAGGAACCGGAAGTCGACGAAACGCAAGTCATGTGCTGCAGCCATGCTGCATCAGCTTGGCTTCAAAGGATACCGACTGGAGATCGATGCTTGTGGCGAAGCCCTTCATGCGAACCTCAGACGCAAAAATAATCCGCATGTCGAAACGAACAAGGCCAGCTGATGTCTCGTGATGGCCTCAACCCTTCGTAAGCTTCAAGCGCAAGCCTTTACCAGTGACTTCAAGTCGACGACCGAGTTCTTCGATGCAGGACGTAGCATGCCGGACGGGTCACACTCGAAAATTTGGCAAGAAAGGCCTTGTGCATCGAGCCAAGCATGTAGAAGAACAGCTTGACATTCTTAACGTCTATACCTTAGACTGCTTAATGCTCACTTGACTCTGCTCTGACCTGGGATAGAGGTTTACCATAAAAGACACCGGCCTCGTACTGAGAGGTACAGCAGGAACTCCGCCTCATCAGCTGCATCCTGAAACGTAAGCTGAAGCTTCGTTCCATACAGACTTCGGCATTCTTCGACATATGAAATGAACTTCGAACTTCCGGGAAGACGACACTCGACACAGAGCTCCCACGGCCAACGCAATGGCCGCCTGCAAGTCCTCGAGTGAGATTTCCTCCTCACCTTCCTGATCTCGCCCACACAACGCATCACAAATTCGCACAGCACGAACACTGCTGCGGCTTCCAGGTGACCGGCCGCGTTCGTGGTGGCATACGGTCTGAACAGGTTCTCCAATTCTTCCGTATCTTTCAGATCGCGCATACTTTGCCTTGCACCGGGTGTATTCATGTCACATGAGTTCACAAGAAACGCCCCAGGTACACCTAGTGGCATAGTCAATTAGGGACTCGTGCATGTGCCGAGGCACTCCAAAAGCATCGAGTCAAGATCTGGCTTAGCCAGTTTCATCGCCTGCCACGGCGACCGACGACGACATCGAAGGGAAGTGCCGAACATCCCGAACAATACTGGCACTGCAACTGGGCTTGTGCCTTCTCAACAAAGGTACTTGTCACGATGTTCCAAATCGATATGGTGAAGATGCTGATGTAAACCTCGGCCACTTTGTGCTGCGAGCAACTGCAACTTGTGCGGGATTGCAGATTCCATTCACAGGGTGGTCGAACTGAGGCAGGGGCCAAAAATACCAGAGATAAAAACAGCCCACCTCGCACAGGGAAGATGCCACGCCAAACGCAAAACATGCCAGGGAATCGAGCCAAGCCGAGCACCATCAGAGCCTTTCTGAAGTGCCTCGAAGGCCTTGGCGAACGTGCTCAGCAGAGCAATGCGTTTTTGCTGAAGCTTTTAACTGTTCAAGTGGCATCCCGCCAATCCAGGCCAGCTGTAGTGGACTGGAACAATGTCAGGAGTGCTCCTCCTCGAGATGGCGATGAGTTTGTGGACACGCAGTCGTCTGCTTGACAAACAAACATTCATTACCGCACACTGCGCACGTGCGTGTCGAAGGCGCCTAGGATCAGCTCTCTATGAAATGAGCGCGCAAAGCAGATTGGTGTCTGCACGGGCAGTTCCACAACGTGGCCAGTGCAGAGTCCGTCCTACAGACGGGTAATAGTACTCAAGCAATCTCACGTCGGCATCCGCAAGGGAATCACCTTCCTCGGAGTACCAGCAAGCATTGAGAAACACAGGGAAAAGGCAAGTGGCACTGTGCTTTACAGTAGGCGACACCACTAGCTTCCTTGCTTGGCCCAAGCCCAGGGCAGAAATGAGAAGATCCACTATGCCTTGGACTATGAGGAGAGAGAATACGTAGAGAACGAAGACAATCATCGCCTGCAGTTATCCAGCTTCTGAGGCTCCATAGCCAGCTTACCTGCTTGAAACCTGATCTGAGCCACTTGCGAGGCACCAGAATATTTGCAGGAATGAGCCTGGATGTCAGGCAGCGTTACTGCCATATAGAACGGTGTGCGCAGCACATGTTGCACTGCTTCTTCAATCTTCTTCATGGCCAGGAAGCCCAGAACACAATCCAACATCAGGCGCCTGAGATGCATGAAGAAGACAGACTCTCTGACTGACCTGCCTTGACCTGCCTTGCTCTGCCTTGCTCTGCCTTGCTCTGCCTTGGCCTTGCTGCCCGGCCCCCACTGCAACGAAGCTGCAACTCGGTAAAGAACTTGAGGGTGCGGAAAACTCTGAGCACCTGGCACATGTGCCAAGTCCTATCTCAAAGTGCGCATGTCACATGCTCGCCCGGCCTTTGCCAGCTTGGTCAGTCTGAGCAGACGGAGAAATCCTTGTCAAACACGAGTGATTCAACCATTGAGCGGTGACCCCATTACGGCCGTCCCTCTCCGTCCTCTTGAAACCGAGCTTGCTTCACAGAGAACTGGAGTACACGCATTATGACCCGAGCAAAACTCAGCCTGAAAAAGGAAGGTTGTACGATTGGTGTTCGTTGCGGTCATCCGCCGACAGTGAAGCCTCCCTGATAGCCTCCAGCCCACATCACCGTCCAGAAACGAAAAACAGCTGCCATTGGTATTTCTCAGTTTTTTGTTGGGATTGGCCACGCGGCAAACTGGGAAGCCTCCTCTCCCGGCAAATCAGGACAAACCCCAAAACAGCTCCTCACTCCTTGCCAACCCCTCACTCTCTGGCGTGATCAAGGCACCCAGGTTCAAGCTCGCATCACCACTCTCGTCAATGTTGGACTCGAGCACCGACGAGATGGCAATCTCAATTACGGAGAAGATCACCAGTGAGAAGTCAAAGATGTTCCAACCTGCAACCACAGCCGGGCACGGCAGACGAGTTCCTTCGTGCTCTGCTCATGTGTAAAGCCGAAGCCGTCCAAGCAACGCCAGTCTTCGTTGACAAAGAAATACCTTTCAGCTATCACGCTGAATCACACTAAGAGATGGCCACAACCACCAAACAGGGGCACATCCGATGGACCATGATCTTAAGCGTGAGTTCGAAGGCCTTGGTACGTTACAGCATGCCGTCCAGGAAACGTTTTAGCGCATCGACCAGCTGCTTCCCAAGTCTGAGGACCCCACATAGAACACCGTGAGGCCGAGTTCAAGCCGCTCCTGCTGGGGCGGTCAGGAGCAATCATCAATGCCCTGACAGTCTGATCCGCACTCGGACTGCGTCTGAGGACGTGGCATAGTGTTCAGGAATCGCTTCGCCCAAGTGGCCCAACTCGTAGTCCGACACGATGATAATCAAGAATGCCTTAGGTGCGAAGCGGACAGGCTCAAGCATCCGAAACATGTCCTTGAAGTGGGCTTCAACCCCAACCCAGAATCATGTGCAGCTGTGCTGCATTTGCCAGGATCACGAGTAAGCACAAAGTTGAAAACTTGTTTCCATCAACCTCGCTTTGCAACTGTGCATGTCAGTGGGGGCACAGCTGCAGCATCAGTAAACACAAACGAGGTTCCATTCTGGCGAAACAATACCTCCTGCTCGGCTCCTGCCCGACGCGCACACTTCAGAACATGGCGCAGAAAAGATCGTGCAGCCCCGGCAAGTGCAACAAGCATGCAGGGTCCTTGAGCTGCTGAAACCATTCCATCCATGCCACCTCAAAAGCCGAATCTTCTCCCTATCCACCCACAAAGCTGTGCGAGCTAAGGGAGCTGCCAAGCTCCGCAAACACCGTTGCAAACATGGACTTGAGGTCTCCTCAGCTGTCAGTCGCAGCCCCAGCCTTGGGTCTGAGGTGCTGACACGAGGCCTGCCTGTGCCCGACCCGCCAAGGACGATGAGATGGTGCGCTTCTTTAGAACTGGAGCACAGGAACTGACATCCACAGCAAGCACTTTTCCACGAGAGCCTGCCTGAGCGAAGAGTTGTGGTGGAAGGGACCGAGTTGAATGACTCCGCCTAAGTGCCATGTGTGACGTTGCAAAGGCATGCTCTCAAGCAGTTTTGCTGGGCCCCCAAGTCCCCAAGGCGAAAGCCCCGGATGCCAGAATAGACTCTCGTCGCGATCGCACCGGCTTCTTCTGCCCCTGCCAGGTCTGCGTTTCGCCACGCCGTTGATGCTCCCCCCAAAAAAAGCCCGCCTGGCCCATCTCAGGGGTTTGCCACCAAGGTTCTGACAGGATCGCCAGGCCTCGAGGCAGGTTCCTACAAAGTTCACCGTAAACATCCCCGTCCCTAAACACAGAAAACTCAGATCCATGTCCATGCCGCCATGCCTTCATCTCCATCTTCAACCTCAAGTTAGCAAGACCATGCAGCATCGCGGCACAATTGAGGTCCATGTTCCTCCTATGGTGAAGTTCTTGGAATGGGAAAACTCGCAAAGGAACAGCTAGCAAAAGCTTACATTGAAATCGAAACTGTTCTTTTGAATGCTTGTGGGTGTGTATTCAGTGTATTCGTTTCTGCCAGTGTGCCTCGCACAGGTGACCCAGGTGTGCTTACGAGTGACAGGTGCTGCTCCCAGATTGTGCTACAGTAGGACTCGCTCAAAACACATCAAAGCGTCCGCCTGGGAGTGAGTACGGCAAGTGTTCAGGGAATGCTTCGGACTCAGGACTAGAAATTTTCATAGACAATCCCACTGAACATTCCCAATGGCGGAATGGATGGCACTCCAAAGCTTTTCAACCTGCCCCACGACTCGCACCGGAATCGGCCCGGAGCCCGCCTCGGAATCCCCACGGAACCTGAGCCCCAATCTGCCCTAAACCCTATTTAAAAGGTCACCATGTACAAAAGTTTTGACCTAGGACCTAGTGGACCTTTCTTGTCTTAAGACGTCTTGCTGAGTAGCGGAGTAGCAACAAGTGCGAAGTGTGCAACTACGTGGCCTGGCGAGCAAAGCATTTTATACACCGTTTTCGAAAGTGTTTGTTAGGATTCTACGGGGAATGGGGCCTGTGCTCGGCGAAACGACGAATAAGCTGCCCTGCAAATCGCCCCGCAACCCGCCGGAACCCGCGGCCCGAAGCTGCCCCGGACGTTGCCCCAATCTGCCCCAAACCTTATATCGGCTGAAAACCCTAGAGCTCTCGCTGTTTGGGAAAAGACTTCCCGCGGTGTGAAACAAGCGAAGGAGCAACTTCAGTGCGAGATCGGCAGTAAGGGACGATACATGTTGCCACAGACTACTGGCCACTGTGCTCTTGCAGACAGGGGAGGAGTCAGCGTGGGCCTTGGAGAGAGAAATGCTTGCTGCTGGCTGTGATGCAGCATGGTTTAGGAAGTTTAGGGTTTTTACTAGTAGTTGGGAAGATAATGACCTGAACACAAGAGATGCTGTCTTTTGCCTTCCGCCGCAAAATGGTGACTGAGAGAGCTGCGACAAGCAGCGTTCAGCCCTGTGTTCTGCTGTGAGGCGATGTCTGTTCTGGGCCGATTCTGTGGCTGGAGCAGGCAAACAGTTGCATACAGAGCATATCATGTGCCAGTCTGTGCCTGCCATGTAAGCTGCCGACAAAAGCGGTTCCCCTCGTCAGAGACGGGTGCGGCTTCGCTTGATCTGCTTGATCGGATTTTCTTTCTCCATCGTCTTCATTTGACTCAGCCTTGACACAGAAGACGAAAGCTCGTTGGCAGACTGCGCAACCTTGCCCCTCCTTCTTGCCGGGCTGGCTTGTACCACCCTGCAGTGGCAAGAAGCTTGCAGAAAGCTCCCACATGCTCAACACGAAGCGAGCGCAAACGCACACACACACACACGCACACACACCTGCTTGGAGCTGTTCTGCAGCAGCTCCGTCAAAGTCTCTAGTGCTGTCTCCTGAAATTAACGAGAAGCTCGATGGCACAAACTATTGTATCCACGCTGGCACTGTACGACTGCATGAAATAAGTTTGGACACCATCCTGACGAACCAACGCCTGTCGTAAAACAGCATGGTCCGCTTCCAGCCGCCTCGCCCGCAAAGCAGTTCAAATCAGACCTCCCCTTCCTTGAATCTCGGCCAGCCTTATGACGGACAACGGAGCGGCCAACTCCTGGAAGTTGCAACTTTTGAGCTGCATGCTTTGAATCGATACATCGCGCCCTGTCTTTTTCCAGGGTGCTATGGGTAGCTGATCGTAACTTCAGTATGGGGTCTTCAGCCCAAGGTACGCCGGATAAAGCCTCGGAGCATGTGGCGCGGCTTGGGGGACGCTTGGCCCGGTTACATCACGCCCAGATCATGCCTCTCCTCCATGAGCTGTTGCAGGTACGGGTGCGCCGCAGTGCCCCTGAAATCCCTGCAAGGATTGAAACGGATCAGACTTAACGGATTCAGACCCGCCAAGCCGCGGACGTCTACGGCAACATCAGTGCTGCATCGGCACAGGGTGCTGAACTCTACTTGTCGGCGTCTCGTAGCCACGGCCTTTATCTGTCATCGTCTGTTTTGGAAGTCTGCACTTCTTTGGACATCGCTAACTTGCATGCCTCTCCCAGCCAGGGCCACTCGGCAGCAAAGAAGCACAGGTCGTACACAGAATAGCACTTGCAGACTTGTAGGTCAACTGTGGCAAATGGTCACTTTTCAGAAGCCAGGTAAACTAGGCGCTTCAGACGCTCTTGTTTTTGGATGTGCAATTGAGGCAGCGGGGATCAAGCGCATGCGAAGCCGTCGAGAAGCAGCACAACATGGTGGCTCAAACTAGCCTACGTAAGCGGGCCTTCACCTAGCTTACTTCTTCTTGTCCTTCTTCAGAGGTGCTGTCGCGGTCAAGCTCGGCCTCCAAATCGGAAGCCGCACATCGGTACAGGCCATGGTAAAGTTACCTACAGCAGCCTAGACAAGGGTAGAGGCACAGGTTCTTAAGCTATGTGCAGACAAATGCCGAACACGGTAGCGACCATATGTAACCCGCCTTGCCTGTATCTTGTGAAGCTCTTCTGCCGTCGCCAGTTTTTCGGGAATGTCTTGACATACTGCACGTCTCGCGCATACTTCCGCTTTATTCGGCTCGAAACTCGATTAACGGGCAAGTGTTCATCCAGAGCTGATGTGTAAACCTCACTTGGCTTCAGGTGGTCATAGACCTCCTTCATCCGGTTGATGGCATTGAGTTTGGACTTGTAATCCCAGTCCTTTGAGCGCTCCAGCACCCGAATGGAGCGCACAACATGGGCTCGCCATTTGGGGTCAGATGGCAACGTATGAGCCACTCTCTGCAGCGTTGGATATCGAAGGCGGGCGATTTGCGATTCCAGTTCTGGGTCTGGCTGGCCGAACTTGGTTCCTCCAGCGACCCCCCTTGGCACGTCACTCTCAAAGCCAAGGTGATTGCGCCACGGATGATGTACGTTCTCCAACTGTTGTTCAGGTTCGTTCACATGGTTCTCTGGCAGTGCGCCAAGCACCCCTTCTATGGAAGAGGACTTGCTGATTGCGTGGAGCGCAGCATTGGCTGCTTGGAGCTTCTGGCTAAGGCGTGCGCGGGTATTGAAATTCCAGCGGACATCTCCCCGGAACGCGGCCAGCGGCTCTAGCACCTCCGGTGGTAAAGACGCCTGGCGCCGGAGCTTTGTCAAATCCGAGTGCTGGTCCAGCAAGCGCGGTAGGCAGCGCTCGTCCAATTGGTTCCGGACGCACCTCTCCTGCAAAAGTCGCTCCAGGCTGCTCCGTTTCATCATGTATGGATTCTCGAAGTCTGCCAACTCATGCGTTAGAACGGGTCGGTTTTGATCCGCATATTCTGACCGTAGAGCTGTCTTGAGAACGTCTGCTAGGCGATCGCTGCGAAACGCCAGAGGCTCTCGTTCCGGAATGTCCTGGAAAAGAAAGGGCGATCGTTGCGAAAGGCACAGGTTACGAAAGCTCAAGAGCACCAGCCTCGCGAAGCTTTCGGTGATGTTGCCGATAGTACTCAGATTTCCAAAGGTCTTCAAGTATGGACTGTTTTCGCCATTCGTCTTGAAATTCTTCTTCCTGCCATACTGATGTGACAAGATCGTGGTGCACAACACCCTCATGCTGCCCGGGGCGCCTCGGCCTCAAATTCTTCCTCCTCTTCCTTGTATCCCTCGTTCAGGAGCGCATAGTTGCGCTTTGCCCTTCGACGGCGGATAATGTCATATGTCTTTTGCAGAGACAACCCTTCACCTGCACCATTTCAATTCTGCAGAAACAGATTTAAAAGGAGAGAGCAAGTCCGCACACTCCACTGAAGCATGTCCTGAGGCTGCAACGCTGGGTTCGGTACAGCTTCATGAAGAGTTCGAAATCTTGATCTTTCGTCCGCTTGCTTTGTGCCTCTTTCCAGCGGTTGAAAGTGGCATAGCCGTCCTCATCTTTGAAGCCCTCCTGACCACTGGGGAGCTGCTCTTGGGGCTGAGTGGCCGCGTCGACCTTTGCAGTTCCCGCAGCTGCGCTTTCCCCTGGCTGTTCCCCTGGCTGCTCTTGGGGCTGAGTGGCCGCGTCGACCTTTGCAGTTCCCGCAGCTGCGCTTTCCCCTGGCTGTTCCCCTGGCTGCTCTTGGGGCTGAGTGGCCGCGTCGACCTTTGCAGTTTCCGCAGCTGCGCTTTCCCCTGGCTGTTCCCCTGGCTGCTCTTGGGGCTGAGTGGCCGCGTCGACCTTTGCAGTTCCCGCAGCTGCGCTTTCCCCTGGCTGTTCCCCTGGCTGCTCTTGGGGCTGAGTGGCCGCGTCGACCTTTGCAGTTTCCGCAGCTGCGCTTTCCCCTGGCTGTTCCCCTGGCTGCTCTTGGGGCTGAGTGGCCGCGTCGACCTTTGCAGTTTCCGCAGCTGCGCTTTCCCCTGGCTGTTCCCCTGGCTGCTCTTGGGGCTGAGTGGCCGCGTCGACCTTTGCAGTTCCCGCAGCTGCGCTTTCCCCTGGCTGTTCCCCTGGCTGCTCTTGGGGCTGAGTGGCCGCGTCGACCTTTGCAGTTTCCGCAGCTGCGCTTTCCCCTGGCTGTTCCCCTGGCTGCTCTTGGGGCTGAGTGGCCGCGTCGACCTTTGCAGTTCCCGCAGCTGCGCTTTCCCCTGGCTGCTCTTGGGGCTGAGTGGCAGCGTCGACCTTTGCAGTTCTCGCAGCCGCGCTTTTTCCCGCAGCCGCGCTTTCCCCTGCTCGTTCACGAATTGCTCTGATGTCTGCCCGCAGACAGTAGAACACACTGACCGGACTCATTTTCATGGGCATGTCTCGAAGATGACGTTGAATTCTCTTGGCGATTTCAACCTCTGCATCATACACGATGTCTCCGACTCGGGTGGCTTTGCCAGCTTCCGCGTCCTGTAGGGTGTTCTGGATGTTGCGTAGGTTCTCGGCCAACCGCTGAAATGAAGGTCCAGAGTTCGTTGAGAATGCTCGATTACTTGCGGCACGAGCTGCACAGGCATTGGAGGCAGCCGCAAAAACTTTCATCATGTCGGCACATTTTTCCCCTCCGAAACCCACATACCATACTGCGCACTGAAGATTGGCAAGAGAATGGGAATGGACCATGCGAAAGACATGCCATCATGTCTGAACATGAGCATCCCCAATATGCCGTGAAAAGAACCAGACATCCTCCAAGATGAAGCCCTCCCCAAAGGAGACTTCCGCAGTTGAGCCATGTGTCGCTGCAGCCATGCACGGACATGATACCTTCCCGTTCGGGGGGCTTCGTAGCAAGACCTACTTGACTTCATGGATCATAGACTGGGGACACAATATTGGGCGAGCTCCAAAAGTGGGTAGTCACTAGTCGCTTGGCAGTTCCCCTACAAGCGCCTGCCCAACGATGCCTGATATTCCTGTTAGTCAATGCTGAGCCGCAGGTATATCACAAAGCCGGGTAGTTTTCCTGACGCTTCGACGCAGCTGACTAGACCAATACGAGCCTTGACCGACCACCTCTTTGGGTCAAACAAAGGCTCCGCGGCCGTAGTCACGAGCGATGTCGCAACTTGTCAGAGTTAGAGTCCTGCAGCACAAGCCATGCTTGAAACGGAAATGCAGGCACTTTTGTGGACCTGTCCCGCAAACAAACAAGAGGGCCTTGCCAACCACGCAATCGCTCGCGTCCACCGTGTGCTGACTCTACGAACTCTGCCACTTCACAATTGGCCAAATACCTGTCCGCAACAAGCATTACCGACAGGATGCACAGCATCCATCATGTCGCTTGAGTATGCCTACTCCCGCTTTGGTTCATATTCGCTTCGAAACTGCCTAACTGCGTTGCTATTGCATACTGTTTCTGCATGTGCCTGCCCAGCAATGCTGAGAAGAAGGCACCGTGGCCCACGACGACAATGCGCTTCCTCGGGACATCCACGGGAGAGTAAAGGTGTCAGTCCGAAAGAAGATGCCAATCAAATCGAATACCGACTGTCGCAGAAGTCGCATACAAATGAATGGACGCTGAAACTGAGCTACGTCTAAACCATTGCGCAGAGAAGTGTCTCCGGCTGCTCCGACAACCATTCCTGGAAGCAGAGGCTGGTTCATTCTGACGGGCACGATCATACAATCAGTTTCTGCATTCTCTGCACAAAAGCCGTCCGTGCAGCCTTTTGTTTTTAAACGGACTTTTCGAGCTTCTCAACCCAAAAGCTTCTAGCCGCGGTCGCAGCTAACTAGTCTACCTGAGGCTACGGACTACGCTACACGCGTCAGGTTGCAGAGGCTTTAGCCAGCCAGCCATCCTAAACCGAAAAGCGGGACAGAAACGGCTTTTGTTAACTGCATCACGAACAAGACCGCTGCGCGACACCGGCAAGGCCCAGACAAAAAAGTGGCGATCCGCCTTCCGGCGTGCTTCATGTATACGTCACAAGACTGATGGCATAGTGCCTCCAGAACTTCTGTACATCTCACAGTATCGCTCAGAGCATGTGTAAACCGCGCACACGCACAGGAAAGTACACAAAAAACACAGACACAGGGGGAGATACACAGAGAGAGAGAGAGAGTGAGAGCGAGAAAGCAAAACACGGGCAGAGAGACCAACAGTGACAGAAGGTGGATGCACACGAACACACAAACACACAATGACACACACTTACTCGCTGTACAATGATGCCGCATCACAGTGCATTGGTACTTGAAATCAATGAGGAGCCGGAGAGCACCATGAAATACGACAATGAGACACCATGCTGAAAATTACACTCGTATGCCGCGCATGTGTATCACACGCCTTGACATTAACAGCAGAGACCGGCACGAATGATCTGCGAGGATACTTGGTTGCCGCAGTGCCATCAACCTAAAGTGGAATAAGATGGATGGTGGCCATGCACAAACCAGCAAACAAGTTCCATTGTTGCGCGGCAAGTCGATTGAAGCCGCTGATGCTACGAGTACCGGCCGGACCACCAACACAACAGAGAGCTCGAAAACAAACACGAAGAGTTGTGCAAACCCAGCCCTTCAACTGTGTGTTTCCGCGGCGTCTTGCTTCCACCCTTGTCCCGAACTTTTACAACCCCCCTCCAAAAAAAACACTTGAACGAAACACGACAAGCAGAAGCACACCAGCACGCGCGTGACCTGCATGCGCAAAGGTTAGCCGGTTAATGATCCTCCAAGCAGCCAAGAATGCAGGTACTCGAGTCTCGCGCCAGGTTTTGTCAGTGCTGTAATCTGGCGTCCACTCCTCCTCCAACTCTGCGAAACCCTGCGGCAACCGTGATGCTGAGAGGGCAACCATTCTCATGCTGCACCAATCAGGAAGCCTCCCAGCTTTCTATGAAAGGGAAGCGCTCCACGAGGTCTGACCTTGGCAATCAACGAGCTGGAAACATCAGTGGGGCGGTGTTAAAACCGGCCAACTATCCACACTCTGATGTTGAGGCTGCTTAAACAACGTCAATTGCTTATGCATTTGGCCGCAGGATGAAGGCGCATTCATATGCCGATGCTCCAGTGCTCAAGAACGTTGGCGCAAGCTCTGTAACTGCTGCCCTGGCCCACCGTAAAACCAAGGACACAATGCTCCTACCAAAAGTCAGTGGTCGTTCCACAGCCAAAAATGTCCATGCAGCCTCCGACTATCTAACGCAAAGCTTCAAAAGCTATCAAGTTCGGCATGAACAAGATGCTTGGACCGCCCTTGGTCAGACGTCGAAGAGCATCCTCGGTGTAGCATTTTGACTCTTTGAGCGTGCTTCTACCGAAAATGCACCGTCTGGCAAGTAAACATTATGCAGAACTTCGTCGTCATGACAGTGTCGTTTCCCTGGCTGTTTTTGCTTGCAGCCGACTACATCACAAGTCACATGGCCTGTAGGATAGCATAAGGCAGTGTCGACCATGTGTTGCTACAGGCACAGAGACTGGATGTTCACGGGGTGCTCCCAGCGGCGCGGACCACATGCCCGGACAAAGTAACAGTAACCCGGACTCGAATCCTTCACTAACAGCGCTACCGCTCGTGGGGCATAACTTGAGAAGCACGGCCGGAGCTCGACGGCCGGCCTTTCTCACCATTCGATTACATCACTGGTGGCACATTCTTCAATGCCAGCCGAAAGCCTGGATGTCCCGCACATGTTGCAATGAGAAGTACAGTATGCTTGCAAGTCGGATCGGCACCATGATCTTGCTTGGCACTCAGCAAGAGATGGGTCAATCAAGGGATGAACTCGATTCAGCAATAATAATAACCTTTTTTTTTTTGAACGCTCCTTTTTGCAACAACGCCAGAGGTACTATAGGTCCGGTCCCTGTGCAAACTGCTGTCTACGGGTTAGGCAGGGCGGGCTGGGAGGCGGCTGTTAGCGGGGGCCTGCGACCAGCGTGCGTCGGCGAGGAGCTCGTGCAAAGCGGGTGGGTCACCAGCAGCACCGAGCTCTGCGGCAGCGGGAAGCTCGAGCAGCGAAGTGGCGAAGGCTCGCTGCGCGGCAACGGAGAGGATGCCGCTCCAACGGTACACCCAAGCGGCTTGAGCAGCGCGGCGGACGGCGACAGGTGCGCTGGCTGCGCGGGCCTGCGCGAGAAGTCGGAGGAAGGTCGCGGCTTCCTCACTCCAGCGCCCACCAGTTTCGATGCCGAACACGACGAGGCGGCAGCGGCGAGCTCGAAGCAGCTCCGGATAGGTGTGCCGGCGCTTGCGCTGCGCCGCGCGGGCTAACGCAACGCCCGGTTGCGCATCGGCCGCGGGCTGTGGCAGGGCCGTCGCGCGTGAGCGGGGAAGCCAAGGTCGCATCGACGGCGAGCTGAGCTCCGTGCCAGAGGGGCAGGCCATTGCAAACGACCTCGATCCTCCTGGCGTCGCTGACTGGCACATCAATGTTCATGTCAGCGACGCGAACATTGCGCGCAACACGCGCTCCGGCCTCCCGGCAGACACGAGCAAGGGCATGCTCGAGCGGCAGCGCCCGGGTCGGGAGGACACCGGAGGTGGCACAGGCGGCTCGGTGGTCGCCCAGAGGGTCGAGGCTGCGGCCGCAGCGGCAAGTGCGGGGGCAGAGCGCTAAGGGAAGGCGCAGCCGTCGGAGCAGCAGGACCCGGAACTGTGCGCTGGCGATAGTGACATCGTCGGAGGTGGGGAGGACCGTAAACACACGGCCGGAGTGTGGCCCGGCCTGGGAGAGCAGCAGTGCACGAGACGCAGGCGAAAGGTCAGTAAAGTGCGTCTCGAGCGCGCGCTCGTCGCAGGCTCGGCTAGCCCGGCGTTGCCAGCCACGCAAGTAGTCAACCCCATCGCCGTCTTCGACGGCCGTGTCAAGCGGGAAAGCGGCGTTGCCGAGGGCGGTGTCCCAAGCATGGGTGCGAAAGCCCTGTCCGACAAGGTGAGCTGCAGCCTGGGCCGCTGCCGCGACGACCGGCACACGGCCGGCCTCAGGGTCTGCGAGCAAGGCGATCGAGGAACCGCGCTGCGGCTGCAGGCGCGCGGTCCCGGAGCACGGGCAACGTGTCAAACCAGGACGCCCAGTACGCAGCGTGCCGGTCGAGCGTGGCCGCTCGCAGGCCCAGCCCACCGCACTGCAGTGGCAGACGGGCGCTGCGCGTGGAAAGTGCAGGCAGCGGGGCGTCCGCAGAGCCGAGCAGGGCAAACAGGCACCTGTCAACATCACCGTCGTGCGCTTCAGCAAAGGGCAAAGTGGCAGCAGGCGGTAACACGCGGAGGAGGTATAGTTGGCCCGAGGACAGGCGCAAAAGCGTAGCAGGAGCCAGGCAGCCTGCAGGTCTTCGACGGCGGGGATGCACGTGAGCAGTCTGTCGTGTTCAGCCCGTTTGAGCTCAAGCTGCCGCTGCACGAATGCGTTGCTCCCAAGTGGTGTGCCCAAAACGAAGAGGCCCTGTTGGTCAGGGCGAAGCGACCAGTCGCCTGTCCATACGACAGCGTCGGAGTCACTCTGCAGGTCGGCGATTGCTGGCGGCTCCTCCCCAGCAGCATTCCACATTCCCTCTTGTGCAGCAACCTATCAGCTCGTGCTCGACACTTTTTTTCGCAACACGCACTCACAGCTGCAACACGTTCGAACCTATGAAGGAGAACCCGGGCACACCGGGATAGTGCTTTGGTAAAACCTCGAGGTATCGAGATGCAACGAAAGGTCAACCCCTTTCAGATGCAAAACCCCGGACGGAATACCCGTCCCAGGAAGAGGGTCACTCCCTCAGCCCTCAAGGTAGTCGCAACGCGCGCAACCCCAACTAGACCGGGGGACTCCACGGGAGGCCGGGTCTAATCAGAGTGGGTGGGTGGGCAAAATCAGCTGCCCGCCGTTTTGGATCAGACTTGAGCCAAAGTGGCGGACAGCAGCAACAAGACTAGAATGATGCATGTGCACCCAAGCCTGCCAAACTCTACACATGTATACATTCCCTCTTGTGCAGCAACCTATCAGCTCGTGCTCGACACTTTTTTTCGCAACTCGCACTCACAGCTGCAACACGTTCGAACCTATGAAGGAGAACCCGGGCACACCGGGATAGTGCTGGCTTTGGTAAAACCTCGAGGTATCGAGATGCAACGAAAGGTCAACCCCTTTCAGATGCAAAACCCCGGACGGAATACCCAATGCACTTAGCCCCAAAGCACTCCTTCACAGAAACTCGAACACCCGCAGCACGGCGAGGAAAGGTAGACCCACGAGCTGAAAGGGAAAAGAAGCAACGTGGCAGGAGAAGCCACGCTGGTGGAGCCAGGGGTCGGCAAAGCCGACACGACTGACTGCATCAGCCCAGTTCGTCTTCGACGGAATGTACTCAAAGAAGAAAGAAGTGCGCAGTGCAAACATTGCAATGTGAATCAACTGCGCCAGGCATTCGAGGTCAGGAGAGCTCGACCGGCCTCTGATGAGGGACATCAAGGCGGCTACATTGTCAATATACCAGTAGCCACGCCGCCCACGAAAGGAAGGGGCCCGAACGGCCAAGGCGTACAACACCATCGCCAACTCGAGTTGGGCAATTTTATGCTCGCCCGGAGTGAACTGAGCATAGACCTCGGGACCGATGTTGGCTATGAAGCTCTCTCGAATCTCCGGGGCATCAAGCCACACCAGGTGGAAGCCACCGGATCCCGCCCCGGGAGTATCCTCCGCTGCGTCGCTCGCAGCGCAGAAACGGGCGACGGGTCGAGGCAACACCTCGAATTCCCGCTCTGGCCGCACCGCCAAAACTGCGCGGATGAGAGAGAAGCAAGCAAGGATTGGCGGGGTCAGCTCCCGGCCACCCTCATCTGAGCGTTCGCGGATCGCGCGAAGCCCACCGGCGCCCACGCGCCGATACATCCCTTGCTCAAGGAAGTTGCAGGTCCCATAAATCTTAGCTGCAAGGCCCGGGGAAAGGGAACTGGAAGCAACAGCCTGATCCAACATATCATGCACCTTGGAGACCAGCCGATCGCGAACAAAGAAGCGCACAAGACCAGACTGGAGACAGCCCTCGAAATCAAAGTTGAGGCCCAGGAAGGTTCCGCTCAAGGCCATCGGCTGACGCTTGGCGGGTGCAAAGGGGGAGCCAAGGCAGGTGTTCAAGCCAGCAAAGCTAGACTGCGCGGAGCCTTTAGATGAAGCCCAATCTGTGACATGAGCGTCATCGAAGTACATATAGAAACAAGAATGGCAAGGAGGCGCCGGCCCAACGCCTCGGCCGCCCGACTATAGCGGTTGAAGCTCGTAACTGCCAAAGGGAGGCCAAACAGCAAACCTGTAGAGCTGATAAGCTGGCTCGCCCCATTCCTGGTGCCACCACACCACAACGCAGCACCTGGATGATGCACCATCCATGGGGCAGTGGCGGTAGGCCTCGGGCCAGTCCTCGCCCCCACCCTCAAGCGCATCTTCGGCAGCTGCCCGCTGGCGAGACGGCTCATCGAGACAAGCGAGCAAGGCCGCCGCATGTTGTGCCGGTCGCAACGGGGAACACAAGACGAGCTTGTTCGGATCTGAGCTCAGCTCGGATTGGCCGCCAGTGTCGGCATTGTCGATAATACGCTGTTTGCCGCTGCTTTGGGTAATCACACAGCGCGGGATCAGGCGAAAAGGAAGGCCCCCCACTGCTCGAAGGAGCTGTGGGTAACGGAGTGGCTCGGAGCAGAACCCGCTCTCGGCATCGCGAAGGCTCTGTTCCAACAGGAATGCATCGTCCCGCCCCGGACGTAAGCTCGCCCGCACCCGAGCGTTGGATGCCGAGGCATCAGCAAGCACCTCTGCATGAGAGACATCACGCGCGGACTGAAGGGGGAACACCCCATAGACTGGGGCTGTACCGACTGCTGCCATCCCGAAAAGGAAATCGTGCGGAAGTGTCGGGTCCCCCCACGACACCAAAAGGCACAGCAGTGCCAGCAGCCCGATATCCCTCTTCCGCGTCACTCGCCGAAGAGGGGCCTGCTGGCTCGCCCTGAGCCGGGAATCCACGCCCGCCCAGCGCCGCTTAAGCTCTCGGATAGCCCCGAGAGAAGCCTGGCGCCACTCGCGAAGCCCCCCGCGCTTGCAGGCCGTCACCTCGGCCGCGTAGCAAAGGTCAAGATCGAGGGCAGGCGGTTGCTCGAATGGGGTGGGGTACCTGGCAAGCTCAAGGGCGAGATCAAAGTGCACATCGGGTTGGAGAGCGAAAGGAAGGGCCGGAGGCAAGGCTGCACGGTGGGCCATAGCCCCAACCTGCTGGCCCTCGGCAGTGCGCTGCCACTGGCGCTGCTGTGCACTCACCAGCTGAGGCAAGAGTGGGCCATCCCACTCCTCTTGCCGCCCGCGGCACCATTGCACGTAGTCAGTAAACGGGGGCGCATTGATCAGGTCCTCGACCATGGGGAAACGGAAGTCACCCCACTCCACCCCAGGAAAGAAGGATTGGAAAGTGGCAACCACTGAATCCTGATGCAGGTATGGAATAACTGCTCCCACAGGAGTGGGAAGGGCTGAGGCAGCCGCCGCCAGCAAGACACGGCGACTTCGCTTCTGGGCAGATCGGCGGGGCCGGCCCGCTGCACCCTGATGGGGTATGCCCTGTGGGCGCCCGGCATCGAACACCAGGCCTGCCAGGAGATCACCTTCACAAACCTGACTGAGTGCACAATCGCAGGCCAGGGTACGCCCTTCGAGCTGCACCAGATCCGTCTGCAAATTGGACAGAACGTGCTCGACGTAAAGGGGGAGCCACTCATCAGCGCCACAGTTGTGGCCTGGGACGAACGGCGAGGCCCACTGTGTCACCGGCAGCCTGTGGGAGTGGTGACCTCGCCCCACATAGATCACGTCGGGGGGCAAAGATTTGTGCTCCCGAAGTACCGAGGCGACCTCCACTCGCACGGGGACCCGGGCCGCCTCGCCCGGGTCGATCGGACGAAGACCAAGGGAAATAGCCAGGGGCGACATAGCCCATTCGCGCAAGGCCCGGGAGTCAATCTCCAGCCAGTGCTCACGCCGGCCGACACACTGAATCGGGGGACCTCGAGGCACTCGCAACTGAGCCAGTCCCAAGCGACCAGCCCACCAACTGCAGGCCACTGCAATGTGAAATGCGAGCGGGGCGGTGTACTCCGCCTCCTCTTTGGAAGGGTAGAAAACCCTACCCTGTGCCTCCCAAGGCTGCCACTCCTGTGGGTGGTGCGTGTGGTGGCACAGCAAAGAAGGACCCTGGGTCAACTCCCAGACGTTGTGCCGGAGACGCTGTCGCTTCCGCCTGGCGCCCATAAAACAACAAGCATCATACCGGGTATCCCACCATTGGTCAGATGCCCACATCTCTGCCTCCTGGGGGATGCACCAATGTAAGCTGTTGTTGGGGTTCTCCCGAATGGCGCCCCACCGCGCTCTAGGATGCGCTGCTGCTCGTCCAACACGAACCGGCAAGCGCAGTTATCCTTGGATACTCTGCGCTGGTCGTCAATCTTGAGACCTGGCAATCCCATCGGGTGTTCGTGGCTGCGAAGGGGAGGCGGGCCGGAGCGACCACTTGGTAGCCGCAATGGTATCTCACGAATTGCCGACTTGGTGCTGCAATCCAAAGCTGCAAACAGCAAGCACGCCTGATCGAGGCTCGGCCTCAGCTCCGCCTGGAACTCCGACCGAGAAATATCCTGTGCTGGGTTTAGCAAGAGGTCGACCGGGCCTGCACGCCAGCCGCAAAACAGGAAGGCACGAGTCAGTGGTGCATTAGGCCCGCACATAAGGTCCATCATCAGGGGCGGGCGGTCGCTGGAGATAACTGGAGGATCCATGGTATTCCCCGAGGGGAGGTCCCCCTCCCCCTCCTCGGGGCACCCTCACCGGATCTTCTCATTGCACTGAGCGGCCCCATGGGAGGAGGAGCCGCAAGCCCGCTGGGCGCGTACGATCACCCCGCAGCGATGGGCGCCCTTGGCGCACTTAGGGCCTTTGCACTTGCCTGACTGAAAATCAGGGCAAAGCTTTGTACCATCTTTGAGCACCGCTGCCACTCGCTTCCCACCCACTTTGGGTCCCTCCCGAAAGTGGGAAATCTGTGGCACCGGCGGAGGCGGGATCGCTGTGCCGGCTGTGACCTGGGTCTCTCCCGAGCCGGCTGACAAGGCGGCCCCTGTAACCACCCAGTGCGCGTCACGAGCTTCCATGACTTGCTTAATAATAAGCCCAAGGGAAGAGTTGCCTTCTCGGAACCTCGTGACCCACTCGCTGCGCCCTTCGACGTCCTTAGTCAGCAGCCACTGCAACCGACGTGCCGGAGGCAGCTGGGATGCACATCTCTTTGCCCGAAAGAAATAAGCCATGGCCACATCCAGGGGGACACCGACGAAATCGGCCGAAGAAGCACTCAAGACTGCCTCCTTGCTCATATCGACACCCGGCAGTGGGAACACACCTGCCATCGAGTAGGCCAGAAGCAGCGTGTACAACTTATCGAGGTAAGTGTCGGCATCCTTCGTGACTGCTTCCTCGGTGTCGGGCTCCTCAGTATACAGGTTATCGCCCAGCTTCCGCTTACGCTGCACCGTTGTAAGCTGGAAGTAGAGCGAACGCACCTTCCATATAGCGTACACGCAAAGCATGCGTTTGTTGATCTCCCGGGACACCCGAGAGAGGAGGGAGTCCGCCGGATGGACCTCGGCGGGGAAACGCATCCGATAGCGCTTCCAAAACGCGAGCTTCACATCACGAAGTTCGGAGTCCTCGAGGAGGGTGTCGAGGTCCGTAAGAGCCACCTTAGATCGATCTTGCTCTGACGTAGAGAAGTAGAGCCTGACGGCCGCCCATGCCCGCCTGAGGCGAGAGGTCTCCAGCATGGTTTTATCACCCAGGCTAAGCTTGGCGACCCACCTGCCCACATGCTCCTCGTTGTCGAAGAAGAAGCGAAGCTCCTCCAAGTGGGACAACCCGTCACTCAACAACCGAGCTTGAATCTCCGGCGCCAGAGAAAAGTTCAAGGACAGGGTGTCCAAGGCAGCTTTGAAATCATTCCCGTCTCTCGGGACAAGGGCTTGCGACATGATGCCCACCCGCCTGTCACTCAGGCCTCGGCTCCCCGCCGACTGGGTCTCTCCCAGGAAAGCTTGAATGTACCTCACTCAAGCCGAAAAATGCGCGAGCACCTGCCCAGCATGAGACAGCAGTCACGCGGGGGGGGCATGCGAGACAGGCGACACCTGCCCCAACTGCACAGCCAACTCTGCTACCCTGCGACTTCTGCATGACAACATGTGGGAGGCAAACACTCGCAACCTTTTCTCGCTGTGCCCGCGCGTGCTAATACCGAAGCACTGCGTGCAGCACGCTTTGGCCCACGCATATGCTTCAAATCGGTCAGTGGTACGCATCGGCCTGACCAACTTCCGAGCCCCCTTGCTCTGTCGATGCTGACAGAGAGTGATGCCGGCCGCGTTCTCAAGGTGCATCAAAGAAGTGTTAGTGGCCACAAAAGCCACTGGCAGCGGCGGCGGGGGACCAAGGCGGGTAGTCCTTGCTGCTCGTAGCATCCATTCGGCTAAGTCGCGGTTCTCGCGGCGGATCCGGTTGAGCTCGATGTCGCGTCGGGCCTGAATAAAAGCCTCGCAGTCATCCAGGCTTTCGCCACTCAGCACCGCCCGCAGCACCGTCCCTGCAGCAGCGCCTCGATGCCTGCCTGCCATGCAATGCGTCACCACATTCTGGCCCTCCAGCAAGGTAGCGCGCACCAACGGGAGCAGGGACTGAAAGTCAGTCTCGCGCCTGTCACCGGAGGTGATCTGCCACTGCCGATGTAAGGCCCCAGGCAGGACGATGCCACCGCGGTCCGCCGGGGATTTGGCCATAGCTGTAATCTGGAGAGCCGCCCTGGCTCTCCCAGATCTCAGTTGGGACCTGAAGTGCGTCCCGGTTCACCGGGCGACCCGGCTCGCGGGCCAGCCGATCATAGCGTTCCTCCGCGCCCTCACGCTGGCGCTTCCGACCACGTGGCTCCGCCGACATCGCGAGAACCTGATGCCCTTTCTGCCGGAGCTGCACGGGAAGAGCGGCGGTCGGACCACGAAGCTGCCGGCCTGGGTGATGCTTGAGGTCGCTCCTCAGCCCCACCCCGAGGTACCAGTTGCACTGCCATGGCCTTGGGCATCTTCTTCGGCCGTGGCTTAGCCTTGGGACGAGGTGGCTCCACCTCGAGCTCCACCTCGACTTCCACCAAGCCGGAAGCCGAACTCGCCGCCGAGGGGACCACTGGCAGAGGAGGCGGCCGTGACCGAGGCAAAGCCGGGCGGGTCCCTCCCGCGGGTGACTCTTGAGGAGAAGAGATCGCCGGTGGGACATTGTCCGGGTGGAGCCGGCGACGGTCGTGACAATCTCTCGCTGGATGCCTTCCGCCGCACACACGCCCTGATCGCAGGACCGTAGCACAGAGGTGTGAAAGCGCACAGGTCTCCGCTCTGCATGCACCCGACTGAAAGGCAGGACAAAGCCGCATCCCGTTGCGAAGGAAGGCCGAGCACACGCGACCATTCACCAGCGGTGGCATACCTGGCTCAGATGGTCCCGGGCGAGTCTCTCCCGCCCCTGCTGCGCGGCTCTGGCGGCGAAGCTTCAGCGCTGTGGTCTTGAAGGCCAGCTTGGCTTCCGGCCCTGGCGTCCCGGGGGGAGCCCTCCAGATGACTGTGGCATCAAGACGGATCATCTCAGCCACCTCGTCCTGCAAGCTGGCCTCCTCCTGCTTGAGCTTGTTCGGCGGCACCTCGGACCATGTATCGAACGTGAGGCACCGGGAAACCGCCGCCCAGACCAGATGCTTGGTCTTCACGCTCATTGAGTACTTAGTCCCGCTGTAGTGAAGCGGCATGGAAGCCCCAGTCTCTCGGATTTTGCCGCGGTCTGCCCAGTCACCCAGAGCCAAGAGGCTAAGCTCATCCAGCTGGAGAAGCGATCCGACTGACGGCCCCACTCGCCTCCACGAGTAGGTTGTAACCGGAGGGTCCAGCCCAGTAAAGATCTCCTGGGTGAGCAGGGTGACCTGCCGCAGCTCCCAGGGCCGACCCGCCCTATCAAAGCAAACTCCACAGCTCGGAAGCACCAGCTGAGAGAGAGCCGTAGGCCTCGACCCAGGCTTCGGCCCACGCGAACCCACAGGAAAAGTGGGCCGGCACAGCCCAACGGAAGCCAGCCCGTGAGTGAGCAGTGGCACAGAAGAAATGGGCCGTCGACTGCGTCAGGCAAACTGGGAACGACCGTGCCAGGCGCTTGTGCCGAAGGCAGCCACTAGCTATCAGCCAGTCAGCCAGGAGGCAGGTCCAGCGAGGATCGCACTGATCATGCAGCTCCTCTAGCATGCCTGGCTCTGCAACGGCATAGGAGCCGGCCGCAAGCCCTCCAAGTCCCAGGGGAGGCCAGCCATCTTTGTGAACCACCGCAGGCCAACCAGAGCCTTCGACGAAGCCTGCGTACCCTCCTGTAGGAAAGCGAAGAGGTCGATGGCGTCCACATCGCCCAAACCGGCCGACCGTCCACGGAGGTGCTGCCACTGGGAAAGTTCTCGCAAAGTTCTCAAGGTACCAGCTACCGTGGAGCGCTCCGAGGCAGCTACCTTCTTGGCTGCAAGAACCCGCAAGAATGACAGCCACTCCTGCCTCCTTGCACCAGTGACATCTGCTGGACGCCGAGCCCCGGCTTCGACCATGAAGTCAGCCAGCTCCGAGACTTCACAGGGCCAGTCACTGTGGCCTCACCCGGCTTCTTTCGCTTGGGTGCTGTCTCCCCGACCGGCTTGGCCAGCTTGCTGAGACGCACCACCGGCCGACCTGCTTCGGCAGCTGCGGCCCCCGCCGCCACAGCGCGATCAACCAAGCCCAGGAGAGCATCATCCTGCATGTCCTGGGAGACTTCTGACCAAGCATCAGCGACAGCATGCCCAGCGTTATGCGACGCCTCTTCCCAAGAGGAGAACGCGTAGGCAAAATCGTTGTCAGCCTGAAGTCCGTGGCGCTCCCTGAACGAGTTCACCGCCCTCGCCGCCATCCTGTCCACCACTGTCTCCGCTGCAGTGCCAGGCGGGGCGTCCACGGCCCCAGCACGCCCCTCCATCGCCTGTACTGCATAAATGCCGCTCATGGGCCCTGCCAAAGAAGCAGCAAGGAAGACCCTCAACCTATGAGCCGCAGATGCAGGAATGGGCGCAAGCAAGGCATGCTGGCTCTCGGCAACGGTGACAGATGAGAACAGACGGCAGGCCACAACTCTTGCAAGGAGCCGGGAGAACGGGCAACCCTGCCTCGATGGCGCCAAGCAAAAACCAGAGGGCGCGATGGGCCCTTGAGCGACGGTCCCTCCGTCCTTCGGCCCAAGACGGGATCGGAGAGTAGGCTGGCTCCCGCCAAATACGCTCACCCTGGTGCCAGTCCCGCCACAGGAGCCAAAGCTGTCCTGGGGTCGCTCCCCGCGGATGAGCCTCCTCGCCAATCCGCTGCACCAGCCTGTTCGCATGATCTGGCAAAATATCTGTTGGCCAGAGGCCCGAGCCCATCCTGAAGACATCATCAAAACTGAGGCGCTCGGGCCCGCTCCTGTGATACTCAGCCCACGCTTGAGCCGGAGCCACCGCCCCCGAAACCACAATGGAGCGACGTGCATATGTGCCCACGAAAGGGAAGCGGAACCCGCCTCGGCCTTCGCGGCATCGAACACAGTCGACCTCGATGCACGGCACGGTACGGATGGGAGGCACGCCAGGCGGTAGCCCCTCCAGCAGGCCCCGAGGAGGCGGTGGGTAAAGGCGGCCTCATAACTCTGGCCTGCCTCGACCAGCTCGCGAAGCCTGGCCCGGAACTCCAACAGGGCCGCCGGATGGAGTAGCTGTGTACCTGTGTGCACAGCCAGGCGGGCGAAGGCATACAATGCTGCAGGATCCGCCTGCATAGCATGGAAGAGGGTCACTCCCTCAGAAAGCCAAAGAGGGTCACTCCCTCAGCACACAAAAGCAAATGGGGTCAACTCCCCTCCAAAATCAGCTGCCCGCCGTTTTGGATCAGACTTGAGCCAAAGTGGCGGACAGCAGCAACAAGACTAGAATGATGCATGTGCACCCAAGCCTGCCAAACTCTACACATGTATATACACGGGTCTTGCCACGGTTGAGCTCCACACGGGCATGTCGCCACAGGGCGGGGCGGAATGCATCGTACAGTGGGCGTACGCGGTCTGGGGGCAACGACGTAGGTGTCGTCGAGGAACACGAGAATGGCTTCTCCGTCACGCAGCTGGGCCTGGACCTCGCGCAGGGCGGGCTGTTGTGCCAGGGCATAAAGTGCTGGCATGAGCGGGTCCCCCTCGCCTTGAGCGATGAGGTGGCTACGGCCGGAGTCATCTGTCCACGTGTAGGAGCTGGGCGTGCCGTAAAATTGACGGGCGAAGGGCACGAGTGGTCGCAGGCCAGGGTGACGGAGCAGGGCACCGAGCATGGCTTTTCGGGAGACGTGGTCGAACGCGCCGATGGCGTCAACGGACAACACGGTTGCACGCTGATCGAGCTCTGTGGCGGCTCGCAACACCCTGGCAAGGGCTTCGGTGCCAGCTCGCGTGCTCTGGCCAAACTGGTGCGGGAGACAAACACGTTGGAAGTGTGGCGCAAACGCTTGGGCCAACACGCGGCCGACGGGTTTCTGCAGCGCGGTGAGCCGGCCGACGCGCAAAGCAGCCAAAACGGGCGGCGGGAGGTCGGCACGTGCAAGGCGGCAGGCTGCGCGGTGCAAAAGCTGGGTATCACCTTCGTCGTCGAGCAGGATACGCAGATGCTCGTTGGTGGCCCCTGACGGTCCAGCTGCCGCCCCCCTCCTTGCGGACCGCAAACAAGCTACGAACGCTGGGAGCGGGAAGGGACAGGGGTCGTCGGCTTGGTACGTGGCAATGTCTTGCGGCAGCGGCGCGTAGGGAGTCGGGGGGCGCCGCGAAGGGTCCCGCAGCTCGGCGAGGGTTGCGTCGGTGCCGGGTGCGAGTGGTTCTGCAACGAGCGCGCGACCGGCGGCCGAAAGCTCGCCAATGTGCACAAGGGCTGTAGCTCGGGCAGCGCGAGCAGCGAGGTCGTCCGGTGGCATGCCCGTGCGGGACCGCGGAGCAGCGGAACCCGATGCCAGCTGCAGTAGCTCGGGCCAAACGCCGCGTGCGAAGAGGTCATAGCGGCGATCGAGCTCCGCAGGTGGGATGAGCGACTCTCCGCCTGAACGCTGCAGAAGCATGCGAGGTGCCAGACAGAAAAGCTTCCAGCCCCGCAGCTCCTGCGCTGGCGACTCATAGCTGCAGGCCAGCGCGGAGAGCCGTACGCAGGGCTCCGCGGAGGCGCGCAGGGACCCCCTGCAATGTGAGGACGCGCTGTTGCAAAGTGTCCTGAAGATCGACGCCGTCAAGGGCAGCCAGGCCCGTCAGCAGACCGCTTTCGGCTGCAGAGACGCGGCGCTGGGCTGCCGTTGTAAGGGCAGGCGCTTGGGATGCAAGGGGAGGGCCGTCGTCTCCCGGCGCTGAGGCTGGAGCGGGAGGGGAGGCGGCAGGAGGTGAGGAGGTGCGCCGGCCTCGCCCTCGCCCGCGTCCGCCACGTCGGCCGCGAGCTGCGGCTGCGGCAAGCTGCTGGGTGCTTCCAACGGAGCGGCGGAGTCAGGGGCTGGTGGCGCGGGCAGCAAGGCGGCACCAGGCTCGCTTGCACGCAAGCGGTCAACGATGCTCGCAACACCCTGGCAAGGGCTTCGGTGCCAGCTCGCGTGCTCAGGCCAAACTGGTGCGGGAGACAAACACGTTGGAAGTGTGGCGCAAACGCTTGGGCCAACACGCGGCCGACCAGGCGCCGAAGGACATCTCCGATGACGAGGGCGCGGACGCCGCGTCCGTTGGGTTTCTGCAGCGCGGTGAGCCGGCCGACGCGCAAAGCAGCCAAAACGGGCGGCGGGAGGTCGGCACGTGCAAGGCGGCAGGCTGCGCGGTGCAAAAGCTGGGTATCACCTTCGTCGTCGCAGGATGCGCAGATGCTCGTTGGTGGCCCCTGACGGTCCAGCTGCCGCCCCCCTCCTTGCGGACGGCAGACAAGCTACGAACGCTGGGAGCGGGAAGGGACAGGGTCGTCGGCTTGGTACGTGGCAATGTCTTGCGGCAGCGGCGCGTAGGGAGTCGGGGGGCGCCGCGAAGGGTCCCGCAGCTCGGCGAGGGTTGCGTCGGTGCCGGGTGCGAGTGGTTCTGCAACGAGCGCGCGACCGGCGGCCGAAAGCTCGCCAATGTGCACAAGGGCTGTAGCTCGGGCAGCGCGAGCAGCGAGGTCGTCCGGTGGCATGCCCGCGCGGGACCGGGGAGCAGCGGAACCCGATGCCAGCTGCAGTAGCTCGGGCCAAACGCCGCGTGCGAAGAGGTCATAGCGGCGATCGAGCTCCGCAGGTGGGATGAGCGACTCTCCGCCTGAACGCTGCAGAAGCATGCGAGGTGCCAGACAGAAAAGCTTCCAGCCCCGCAGCTCCTGCGCTGGCGACTCACGGTCTATAGCTGCAGGCCAGCGCGGAGAGCCGTACGCAGGGCTCCGCGGAGGCGCGCAGGGACCCCCTGCAATGTGAGGACGCGCTGTTGCAAAGTGTCCTGAAGATCGACGCCGTCAATAAGGGAAGCCAGGCCCGTCAGCAGACCGCTTTCGGCTGCAGAGACGCGGCGCTGGGCTGCCGTTGTAAGGGCAGGCGCTGCGCTGAGGCTGGAGCGGGAGGGGAGGCGGCAGGAGGTGAGGAGGTGCTCCGGCCTCGCCCTCGCCCGCGTCCGCCACGTCGGCCGCGAGCTGCGGCTGCGGCAAGCTGCGCGGTGGAGGCGAGGTGCTGCTCCGCCCGAGCTGCGGTATCGGTATGCAGCTGGCGATGCTGGCGCGGAAGCATCGGGGGCTTCGGGCGGGGAACTCTCATGTGTGGGTGCTTCCAACGGAGCGGCGGAGTCAGGGGCTGGTGGCGCGGGCAGCAAGGCGGCACCAGGCTCGCTTGCACGCAAGCGGTCAACGATTCGCTCTAGGGTGGATGCGGCCGCCGCGCCGACCAAGAGTGCGATTAAGGCTTCCTGTAGAGGGGCCCCGATGTAGTGGCCTTCATCCGCCGAGGTGATAGCGCAGAGGACCTCTGCAAGCGACGCGACCTGTGCGACTCGAGGCGGGGCCCATGAACAGAAGCGCTCGAGTGTGCTGGAGACGAGGGCCTGCGGCGGAAAGGCATGGGAAACATGTTCCACGGCTGTGCAGAGCTCACGCACGGGAATGAAGGGCCGGGCGAGCAGGGCCGCGACTGCGGCGGGCCACCACTCGCCGATTGGGGCATGTGTCCGCCACTGCGCATCGGCCGGAAGGAGGCCGGCTGCGTCGAGCAGAAGGGGTACATAAACGCGCGAGTTAGTCCCGTCACGGAATGGCAGTGGCGGCGGGCCGAGGTTAACAATAGATGCATGCGCTTCGGGACGGTGAAGCGGCGGCCAGGGCGCGGGCCCATTGTGCGTGTGCGACGTGGGGTGTTCGGTCGCTCCGGCCGGAGCCCCTTCGTCGACGGGTGGGCGGGTCGCAAGCTCCAGCGCTAGCGGCCTGGGAGACTGCGCAAAGGGGCAGCGTCCACACACCCAGCGCTCTTGACGGCGACTCATGTCGACCTCCCAGTGCAATGGCACCTCGCAAAGGGGGCACGCCGGACGTGGCTCGGGCACGGTGACGCGGTCAAGTGGGAGCTCATTCTGGCAGCGCATGCAAATCCACAACGCCTGCCAAGCGCCGATGCCGTCCGTGCGCCGCTGCGGCACCGGCGCCCAGTGCATGCGAGCGTCCGGCAGCTCAACAAAATCCATGGCAGGTCCTGCGAGGCGTCGGCAGCAAACGGCGCGGATGTGGAGCGGCTCCACGGGTTCAGGAGCGTCTGCCCTCGAGAAGGTGCGGGTGGAGTAGCCGCGGACAACGGCAAAGGCCGTGTCATGCGGCGGAGGTGTTTCAGGTTCTAGGTCGATGCCCAATTGTCGACATCGAGAGGCGATTGAAGGTTCCCGTGGCAGGTGGTCGACTGCAGCTCTGCAGTTGGGGCAACTGCCATGACGCCGCGCGCACTGTACCACGCAGGATAGGTGCGTGAAGGCAGCGCAACATGGGAAGACCGCATCCTCGGCTTGGGGCTGGGAGGAGGGGGCTTGCAGGCAAACCGGGCACGCAGCCAACGGAGGCAAAGCGAACTCCGGTGTGACGTCGCCCTCGCGTGGTGAAGAAGGCGGGGAAGGCGGCGGGCTGTCCGGCGCAACGGCGAGGCGCATTGGCATGGGCTCAGCTGTGGCAGGAGCAGCCATCACAGGCGCCAGCGGCGTGCGGTCACCAAGGGGTGACCGAGGTGAAGGGCTGTCTGGGACAGTGAGGGGGGAAGCGGTGAGGGGCGGCGGGGAAGGCGCGCGACGCGACATGACTGTAGCAACCGCGGGCAAAAACTTTTTGCTCGTGGCACGGCGGAGCGAAGCCGCAGTGCAATAGAATACACTAAGGTACAAGGCACCGCTTCACTTCAAACGCGAGCGGGTGCAGGCAGCAGCCAGCGGATGCAGCCAAGCCGGCTGGCCTGGCAAAGCGTCCGCAAAGGCAGCCTTACAGCGGAAAACTAAGGGTTCGACCTGACGCAAAAAGCAGCTCCAGCCAGGACACCAGGACCTGGCAAAGGAGGAAAAACACAGCAGCTGCGGACAAGTGCAGCGGTGGCAGAAAGGCCTGTCAACGCCTGCGTTGGCGTTTGGCTTGCTTGTTCCAGCGACTACCGCCACGGACCCTTAACTTGTGCGTCGGGGGTCGTGGAGGAGTTGCAGCGGCGGGTTTGCTTGGTGCTCGCCGGGGCCGTGCAGGTGGCTTGGCTTGAGGCACCCTCGGCCTGTCACGGCGGGGGGGTGGCGGAGGTGGCGGGGGCAGCGGGCGAGCCGCAGACTTGGGAGCAGGCTCAGGCTGGGCAGAAGCAGCCTGGAGTGAGCCGCCTGCCGCCAGAATGTCGGCCACCGGCAGGAGCACGAAATCACGCTCCACAACGCCTGTCACTTGCACACCACCCAGAGTGACCGACACCTGACGCATGCACAACACCGGAAACGTATGGCGGCGCGGAGGAAGCTACAAAAAGGTTGAAGCGTTCAGGGGACCCCGGAGCAGTGCCAGCGCGCCACGTTGCCGTTAGCCTAGAAAGCAGGCCTCAGGTTTCACACACGGTCGACCGAACAGGTTTCTATTCTAGAGCCAAGGCTTCTTGAGCCAAAATGGCTTGAGCCAACATGAAATAACTTGTCGAGAATTTTTGCAAAGCAACAAGTTTTTTTTTTTTTATTTCGCGCCTTTTTCCGTCAGCAGGAAGGTCCCGCTCTTAGTGGAGTACGGTCACGGTCCCGAGTTAGGGCCGGTTCAGCGCAGCGGCAGGCGGCTCGGCCCGTCTGGGTCGGCCATGTGGAGGACTATGGAGGACTTCATCCAGGGCCGGCGCATCGGTGTGTGCCGGTCCCGGCATGGCCTGGGCGCGCCCTAACGCCGTGTGACCGACGGCCTGCTGAACCGCTACGGAGAGCACGCTCCACCAACGGCGGGCCCAGGCTGTCTTTGCGGACGCTCGCAACGCAGGCGGGGCTCGGTACGCACGGAGTGCGACGAGGCGTTGGACCAGCTTCACTGCGTCAGTGTTCCACCGCCCACCCACTTCGCAGCCGAGCACGCAGAGGGCTTGTGCGCCACCTGCCGCGAGCTCAGGGTAGGTGGCTTGTTTGCGCCTGTAGGCGGTGCGCAGAACCGCTCCGCCCAGGCAAACACAGGGACGATAATCATCATGCATTCTGCTGTTTGTGTATTTTGCAAAGGTGGCTGCGATTCCAGTTTTCCACACGGATGGGACGCAAGACAACATGTGGCAGTAGGCGAAAACGATCTCCAGAATTACCACGTGAATAACATAGACAGTCACGCCATACACTCAAGCGAGCTCGTCGCACATCAGAGATCATACGCAGTACGAATGCGGTTGCTGTTCAGCCGAACAGAACGTTCAACAGCATGCAGACATCGAGCTGCCAGAAGTTCAATTTTTGTTCCAATGACTTTTCTTTATTCCGCGCATCTTTTTGACGTGCGCTTGAACAGCCAGCCTTAGTCCCAGTGCCGACACTGCACACCACGGGCCCAAGAGGCCACCATACTGCAAGGATCTGCAAGGGGAGGTGGGAGGCGCGCACGGCTGTTGCGGGCAAAGCCCAGGAGGTCTGCGAGACAGCGGCCAACGGCGGCATCGTGTTCAGCTGCCTACTGGGAGATGGAGGCCGGTGGCAAAACCCGCAACAGGTATTTGGCCCGGGGGCACACGCAATACCGGAGGAGAAGCAAAGCATCCTGTGAAGTCGGCGCCTTTCAAGGGATGCCAGCACTCTGCCTCCCGCGCCTGCGATGCGCGCGCCTTCGACACGCACCTTTCTAACCTCACACCTGCGTCTCGAGCACTGCTGCTGTCGCAGGCCGGGCCCTTCGCTGCCCGTGCCTTGAATGTCAGATCCTCCCAACTCGCGAAGAAGTTGTCCATACCTGCAGTTCCGGGTTCTTCTGCTGAACAGGCTCCGACTTCCTTTCCCACTCGCGCCGCGCAAATCGTGCTGCCTGGCAACCACGGCTCGGCCTGTGCTACGTCCGGCGTCATCGCAGCGCACGCTGCGCCTTGAGCATGCCGTCGCGCGAGTCTGTCGCGAAGCCGGCGCTCGGGTCGCCCACCATGTGCGACTATCCGACATGAACCTCGATGTGCTCGGTCTCTGATGAGCGGCGCAAGGAGGTCGTCGCAAACTACCGGCCTTCCTTCGTGGCACAAGTTTCCACTCGCCCTATATCGACGCCCCCAACGTGTGCCCGCTCATACGGGGCGGCGAGCCCCACCCGCGCGCACACGTGTAGCCTGGTACCACCATGTCGTCCACAGCGCGGCGCAAGCGACATCAAATGTACCCTGAGCTCGAATTCGCGCGGCGCTGCCGGCTAACGGTTATATCCGCCATTGTCGCTTGGATTTCGCGCTGATTTGGGCGCTGTCGCTTCCCAGCGCGCTTGTGCCGCCTCCCTCCACGAGCTGCCGCTTGCAGCCAAGGTCCTTGCTGACTCCCGCAGCGATGAGAATACACTGCTAGTAGCTTCACGCCGACTGACTTGGGACTCCTTTCGCTGTCGTAAAAACGCGCGTTGAAAAAATAAAAAAACAGCTTGCTTTGCACGAGGTCTTGGCTGGCTTTTGGCCCCGGAGCCCAATCGCCTACCGGCGCGGCTCGCCTCAGGCTTTGCGTGGCAGTCGCTGTACTGTAGTGGCAAAAGGTGCGCTGGAAAACAAACTTACGTGTAGAGCTGGACTCGGAGCAAGTCCCCAGCAATCGGCATGGCGCAAACGCCTGTGATCATTCAGCCGCCATGGAAGACTGATGGAAAATGTTCAAGGCCGCCATGATTTTTTCCGAACATAAGCGATGGACGGCTGGCGCGTGCAAAACCAAGCGGTGCTGGAAGGAGGAGCGATGAGCGCACGCGCATCCAGAGAGATGTCCTTGAACGACCGTGAGACACACTCAGAAGTGAAACCTTCATCATGATCACAGTTTCATCATGCCATAATATGCAAAACAAGAACCAACACACACACGTGCAAACAATGAAGGAGTAAGACATGCAAATACAATATCATAAATGCCCCGCTCAGTCAGAGAGTGGATCTGGGATCCACGTTCACATTTCACACGCCGACGCATCGCGGCCGAATGGTGGCAACAAACATGACATTGCGCAAGATGCCACGTGCAGTGTCTATGGCTGGGTCATGCTGGGTCTGCGCTGAAGAGTGTTTCCAAGCTCAGCATGTTTGATCTCCGAGTTTGCTGTCGCCAGCGGCGGCGTTGTTGGGAATAGGCAACACAATCCAAGAGTGCATGAGACAGGGAGTCACGGCCATTGGCGCAAAACCGGCATGAGCGCAGTACCATGCCGTTGCGATGACCCGCAGACCGAACGTCCAAAAAGTCATGATGTCCACACCGAGCTAAACCCCAAAATCTGGCAGCCGTGGGACAAGCATGCCTGTAAACGACCCTGTGCAGGTGCGGCCGCCTCTGCCATCGAGCGTAGCACCCCAGGGAGTCAGTGCAGTGCAAAAGGTTTGAATAAAGTTTTTTTTTTTTCAAGTTGGAATGCCGAGATACGGTATCACGTACGACGTACATGACGCAACCAAGACTTCACAACCGTCTGGGGTGCACCGGGGACGATGCCCCAACTTGAAGGGGAGCTACACCAATACGGGCAAGCTCCCGCAGCACACCATTTACCCAGGACGTCTGTTCAGCACATGCGTCTCGGGCACTGCGGGCAGCGAGACAACTGTAGGGCAGGGACAACAAGCGTGCTAGCAGGCCAGCCGACTGCAACAAGCGGGCCGATGACAAGTCTAGCCAACGTAAGTGCCCCTGTGTCGCAGCAGTCGGTGCCCCTCGAGGCCACATCAGCAGGCGACGGCCCCATTGAAACATGCGTGCATTGCCACGCTGTAGCTGATGGGAATCGGGCACGAATTCAAGGCCGAAGCAAAATGACGGTTGGACATATGCACGGGATAGCTTCTCGAGAAAATGTACTGGCAAGTGATCTGTGTGTGAAGCTGTCCAAGAAAGGCATGCAGCCATCCTACGTTCGCCACGTGTTAGGACATGATCAATGTGAAGACGCCAATTCAAGCCATCATGGAAAACAACGCCAAGGTACGTGTACGTGCGTACCATAGGAACTAGCTGCCCATTTACCTGGAAGTTCATATCACGGCAACGGGAACGGCCCAGGCCGAAGCACATAGCGGCTGTCTTGTGAGGGCCCACACCAAACTTGAAACGCCATGAACGTGCCCAAGCAGTTGCTGCATCCAAGGCTTTTTGTAAGTCCGCGGCATCGTGCTTGCAGCTGCTTTGGGAGGAGGGATCACGACCCCATGCTTCCACAGTGACGGGACAGCACAACACGCACGACAAAGTTCAAGGAATTGCAGGATTGCTTCCGTCCACCATGACAGGTCAACACAGAATGCCTCGTATGGGATATTGTCAATGCCATGTGCTTTGGATCTGGTGCACTGCTGGAGTGCATGACGGAGTTCAGATAAAGTGTAAGGGTAATCATTTTGCATGGGACCAATGCATCCGTTACGGAGGCGCTCAATGAAAGTTGCATGGTCAAGAAGAGCGGCTTTTTGTTTTCCGGCAACCGAAAGTCCCAAACAAAAGTGCCTACCTGGCCCTACGGAGGCGCACACACCAAGGCACTAGCGAGGCCCCTAGCCTGCCCCTAGCGGCTGCCAACAGGCGGAAGCTGCCACCGCACGTCGGCGAATGTCGGCGAGAACCTCGTGCAGATCCGGCGGCTCCCCGGC